TATAGAAAAGAATCACCTCTTTAACCACTTGCCTACCGGGCACTTATACCCCCTTCCTTACCAGGCCAAGTTTCAGCTGTCACACTATGACAATTGCGCAGTCATGCAACTTTGTACCCATATGAAATTTTTATCATTTTTTTTCTCATAAATAGAGCTTTCTTTTGGTGGCATTTAATTGCCGCTGGGTGTTTTTGCTTTTTGCGCTATAAACAAAAAAAGTGCAAAAAAAGTTTTTAAAAAAAAGTTTCTTATTTTCTATTATAATAATTTTCAAACAGGTAATTTTTCTCATTCACTGATGTGTGTTGATGAGGCAGCAGTGATGGGCACTGATAGGCTGCACTGATGATGGGTACTGGTAGTCAGCAATGATAGGCGTCACTGCTGGGCATTGACTGGCAGCACTGCTGGGCACAGGTGGGTGGCACTGCTGGGCACTGATCATCAGGGCACTGATCATAAGTGCAGATCCTTGTTCTGACAGCGTGAGGAAAGTGCAGCCGAGAACCGGCAATTGCATTTCCCTGTGATCAGCATGTCATTGGACACGGCTGATCACAAGATAAAAGGCCGCTGTGATTTTACCACATCATGTGATCAGCTGTCTGTAGGACACAGCGATCACGGAGATCGCAGGGTGTGCCCCCCAGGGGTGCACAGGAGAGCGCGTTCTGGGAGGACGTCATATGATGTCCACCCAGAACTGACCGGCTGCAGTGCAGCCGCTATCTGCGGTCAGCAACTAGTTAAAATAATCACATTGTGTTGTTTTGCAGCCTGAAATGAAGACAGGCAATTTTTTTTCTATCCAGCTGTATTTACTCAGTGCAACGTATAACATCAAAGTGAAAGATATAACACCAAAAATTTAAATAAAGGAATGCGCTAAAACCACAAACTATTCCTAATTTAGTGTAGAAACATTAGTGCAAAATATATATATATCTATTCTCAATTAATATCAAAAAGTATCAAAATTATGTGCAAAACAATTTTTTAGTGCATAAGTAATTTAAATAATTAAATTTGTGAATATAAAAAAATGTCCAATTCTGAATTTCTTCAAATGTCCAAACAAATCCTTTTCAAATTCAGGTGCTCTCAAAGAAATTGTGCCAAAATCCACCAACAAAGTAAAGTTGGGTAACTCACCAGAGCTCCATGCTGATCAATCTCTAGATCAGCAAAAAACGCTTTTTGCTCTGGGAGCAGATGCAATGAATCAACTTCTCAGGTGTGATGATCAATAGCTACACAATCATCCATAAGGTAGGTATCCACCACTCAATATAATGGTTCCAGGAGCATTATATCACTCTCTCTTTTTATATCTCTCCACCGAGGTCATGTTTGGGAATGAAAGAGAAAATCATGGTGCAGCCAGTTTTTTTGTAAAAGTATCCAACAATTTAATAAAGATTTACACTCACAAAAAGTATAAAGCATAAAACAGCAAATGGTATAACAGTCTCCTGTTCCCCACACACACTCACCACAGCGCTCGTGACTCAATTTTCTCCACAGACGTCAGCATCCAGGAAGCCCTACTAGTTTTGTCATGAATGACATCTTCAAGGGGCGGTCCCCTTTGAAGATGTCCGCCCCTTGAAGACCGCCCCTTGAAGATGTCATTCATGACGAAACTAGTAGGGCTTCCTGGATGCTGACGTCTGTGGAGAAAATTGAGAGTCACGAGCGCTGTAGTGAGTGTGTGTGGGGAACAGGAGACTGTTATACCATTTGCTGTTTTATGCTGTTATACTGGTGTCGGTGAAGACACCCTTTTTGTGAGTGTAAATCTTTATTAAATTGTTGGATACTTTTAAAAAAAAACTGGTTGCACCATGATTTTCTCTTTCATTCCCAAACAGGACCTCGGTGGAGAGATATAAAAAGAGAGAGTGATATAAATGGAACCATTATATTGAGTGGTGGATACCTACCTTATGGATGATTGTGTAGCTATTGATCATCACACCTGAGAAGTTGATTCATTGCATGCTCCCAGAGCAAAAAGCGTTTTTTGCTGATCGAGAGATTGATCAGCATGGAGCTCTGGTGAGTTACCCAACTTTACTTTGGTGGTAGATTTTGGCACAATTTCTTTGAGAGCACTTGAATTTGAAAAGGATTTGTTTGGACATTTGAAGAAATTCAGAATTGGACATTTTTTTATATTCACAAATTGAATTATTTAAATTACTTTATGCACTAAAAAATTGTTTTGCACATAATTTTGATACTTTTTGATATTAATTGAGAATAGATATATATATATTTTGCACTAATGTTTCTACACTAAATTAGGATTAGTTTGTGGTTTTAGCGCATTCCTTTATTTAAGTTATAGCACTAAGAAATTTTGTTTGGTTTCTTTGAGGTGGAATTGCTGCTTTAAAGTATTAAGGGCGTGGCGCTTTTATTACACTTGTGATAACACCAAAAATGTTAATTTTTTTTTTTTTTAAATCAAAAACAGAATCACTGCGTTTGAAAAAGGATCATCCCTTTTTGTCAGTATTTTATTGAACCACCTTTTGCTTTAATTAAAGCCTTTAGTCTGTTGGGATATGTCTCTACTAACTTTGCACATCTAGACTCTGCAATACTTGCCTGCTCTTCTTTGAAGAACTGCTCAAGTTCAGTTAAATTTGATGATGACTGCAGTCCACAGTCACCATCAAAGTCATTCCATATATTTTCAGTGGGGTTTAAGTTTGGGCTCTTACTAGGCCATGCAAGAACATTCATCTTTTTCTCCTTCAACCACTGTGTGCTCATTTTTGCTGTGTGTTTTGGGTCATTGTCATGTTGGAAGATAAACCTTCCCATTGACAACTTTCTGGTAGAGAGCAGCAGATTTTCCTCAAGAATTTGACGGTATTTTTGCCAGGGTGGATTTGATTTAAATCAAACTGATTTAAATCATGATTTAAATCACTAGTCAGTAAGGCTTGATTTAAATCCTAGTTTTCTACATATAGACTAATTCTTGCTGGTATAACTTTAATATGCAAGTAGATGAAGATTTTTAGAACAACAACTTTTCATATTAGTTTTTTTATCCCGAGTTTAATAGGTTAATCATTCATATTTGGACAACTTTTCTGTTGTACTTAGGAAGGAGAAAAATAATCATTACCTTAATAATAACAATTTAAATAGATTTATTCAACTGAAACAATAACATTCCAGCATATGTTATTTGCTTAAACAAACATCCATGTTTGTTAACTAATTTGGCTAAACAAAATATATATATTTTAAGAAACTTAGACTGTCAGCCCCTTCCTCCTCACACTTAGTTTCACTTTCTTCTTGTGCAGATCTATTCCACTCCAAACAATCAGAAAAATATTGTTTCTATTCTATTCACTGAACTTCTTGAAACTTAGCACTGAAGGGGTTGATTCTGTATTCATAGGTTTGTAGAAGTTAGGATTAAGGTCTTTTTCTTAACTCTGTTCATGTTATAACATTTTTGCTGTGAAGAAGAGGCATGTGATCTCCGCTGAGTCAAATTCAGTTTTGAGAACTGCAAAAGTAAACCAAGAATCTGTGATAATATCTTGTAGGCAGAGAAACTGCCCAATAATCTTACAAAAACCTCTGGAAGAGCATGACATTGTGAATGGATTAATGGAATTTATTTACCCAAACAATTAAACATATAGAGCCTTATTCTACATAATTAAAAAACTAATCTTTATTTCATGATGGAATAACCTTTGGATGGTAATATATTTTCCTCAAAAAGCATTTTATTCAAAAAAATCAGATTTAAATAAAAATCTGATTTTTTTTTTTTTTTTTTTTTTTTTTTTTTTTTTTTTAAAAATCATTGATTTTTATCCACCCCGATTTTTCCTCATCCATGTTTCTTACTATCCTGACAAGTGCTGCAGAGAACCCCCCATAACAGAATATTGCCACCTCCATGCTTTACTGTAGGAATGTTATTTGGTTGGTGAACTGTTTTGGGTTTCCACCGGACACATTTCAGTTTTGAGGCCAAATAATCCAGTTTATCTGACTATAACACCTTTTTTCCATGAGGCCTCCGAATCTTCATGGTGTGTTTTTTCAAAGGTCAGCGGCGACTGCATGTGGCCTTTCTTGAGGAGTGGCTTTTTTCTTGCAACCCTCCCATACAAGCCTCATTTGTGGAGAATTTGTGATATTGTCACATGCATACAATGACCACTCTGTCATATATTCCTGCAGAAACTGCTTTGGAGTTGCTCTAGGCCTCCTGGTAGCATCTCCAACCAGTTTCCTCCTGGCTCTTTTATCCACCTTGGAGCAACTCCCTGATCCAGGGAGGGTCTGTGGTGTACCAAATACGTTCCAATTTTTTAATTAATAGACATCACTATGCTTGTATGCATTAATTTGGCCTTTGGCATTATTTTTTATTTTTTTATCCTATTTCCTGACTTGTGCCTGTCCACAACCTTATCCCGGAGATTTTTTTTGATAGTGCCTTGCCACCTATACTTGATTGATTGCTTCAGTTGCACTATCAGGGACTGAAATGCTCCAGAAAATCTTTTTTCATGCTGAGCTAATCAAAATGACCACAGCTGATCACAGTTGAAAAGTCAAATGGCTTTGTGTGCCATTTAGGAGGGGATTAGCTACACCTGATTTGAGTTTACAAGTCATTTTTAGGAGGGGTGTGATCTTTTCCAACTCGGCAATTCCGTTTTTGAAATTTTTAAATAATTTTTCTGACATGCTGGTGTTATTTCTTTCACTTGGATGTTATAAGTTGCACTGTGTAACTACAGCTGGATAAAACAAAAGAACTGCGTCTGTCTTCATTTCAGGCTGCAAAGCAACAAAAATTGTCCTAACAATACTATGCCTGCTCTACTAAACAGACTCAAGATTGAAGCTTTTTACCTTACAACTAAGTTTTTTTTCATTTCCAGTTTTGTTTTTTTGTTTTTTTTTAAAAGAAATGTCAATTGTTACCTTAATGTCTCCTTATGTAGGAGCTCAAAGTGAAGTCGATTACACAGAGCAGCTAAACTTCAGTGATGATGACGAGCAGTCACCAAGCCAGAAAGAGAAATCGGAAAGCTGGTAATCTATCAGAACTATTTAATGTTTATATGTAGATCCTTTATTTACTCCATTGATACTTTTAAAGATGTATTATGTATTGTATTTGTAGTTATATGCCGTACCTTGTAGTATCTATCAGATTGTTTTACACTGTATTATATCTTTTTTGAGCATTCATTAAAATATTGTTTGTTTACTTTTAAACTAAGTATTCTGTTTGTTTATTTGCAATAAAACATGTGGGTTGAGTCTGTTTAAATGCCACTATGGGTTTAGCCACCGCTTAGTGAAGTTAATGGGCTCAATTCACAAACCGGCACATGAGGTTAAGGTTACATATTTAAAAGTGAGTTATTTTCAATTGCATTATACGATATGGAAATTTACACTCGCGTTGCTAAAATAGAGGTCCATATCATTGTGTAAAGGTTTCAGAATTGAAGCTGGTCTGTGTCTTCTTTCTCTGACCTATAGTAAGAAATGGCTGATTTTGGGACTCGTGTATTGATCTTTTTCATATTCTGATTTTAATCGATATATTTAGAAATAGGACTAGTATTGTTTTAATGATAACATGTACTCCACACTGATGAATCTAAAAGTGCGACTCGAGAGAAGGGAAGCACATCTGCTATCACTTCCTCCAGTTTGAGATTACTTTCACTTTGCTATTTAGTCTTGACTTCTGTCTAAGCCCTGCCCACCTGCTGGCTCTAAGGTGCACCAGTAGTGGGCCTTGACAAGTGAGAGTGCTGTTATTGGCCAAGAAGGCAGGCAGTGTTTTTTAATGGGTATTTCAGGGTGGGGCTTGGCTCATTGGGGATTTTGTCTTAAAGTAATAACACACTGTTTAATTTACATTATCTCTTCTGTTTATGTGGATGATGGCACTGTACTAAAAAAAACCCACAAAATATCTTTTTTTCCTAATCGATATACAGCTGCCAGCTCTTTCCAAGCCTGTCTGTTGGGAAACCGCTCCTAGTCCTCTGCTGCCGGGTACATCTTCAAATTATATATATAAAAAAAAGCAGCCTTTGGGATACAGAGTAGAAAAAATTAATATCAATAAACTGTTTTAAATTGTCATACAATTATATATTTGAAATCAAATCTTTATTATTTTTGGCAGTAACATGGTTTTCTGACAGTCGCAGGCTGTGGCACGACTCACACCCCTCCAGCCTGTGTCTTAGAATAACAGGGAGGTGAAGCCTTCATCAATCAAGAAGTAATATCCCACCCCTATTGTATTTATCTGGTTAGTGGGCATGGATGAGGAAGGGATGTAGTGGGCTGTCGTTTTTTTAACACTGTGTATGCTGCATGTGTGACTATAGTCACATGGGCTGCTCAGATGTGATGGGTAGGAAATGCCCAGCATAGAAACTCACTGAGAACTGAGCATGTGCGCTAGCTGCCAACACTGCTCTGCAAAATCCCCAACTGCAGTAGGGACATGGTCAAAAGGGGAGAGATAGAGCAGCATGTAATACAGCATTCCAAGTAGGGCCAACAGGAGGCTTTCTTTAAAAAATTAGCCTAAGAAATTTTTTTTATTTGGGAAGTGTGGAGCATAAGTTTGCTTTAAAGCTGATCAGCCTCTGAGTTAGCCAGTTGAATCTAATTCACAGACTTGCCTTGAGAGAGCAGCAGTAACGTTCTATGTTACTATGCTCTAGAAATGAGACTGCTTGCCTTTGTGTGCTTTATATGTGTTGTGCATTTTACATGAATTGCCATTTGAATTCTGTTACATGCTGTTACAGCTACAACTTTTTAGAAGAAACTGTTTCAGTACACGCACAATGTGAAATAGTGACCAAAGCAGGAGTCAGAAACATTTATATGTGGCTTCCTTTATATAGAAATGTTACAAACAATACACAAAATCAGTTCTAAAATGTAACAACACTGTACTTCTATAGCCTGCATTTTTTTTTTTTCCATTATTTACTGAAAGGCTGACTGTTTACTCATGATGGTGTAAAATTGTAAAGACATTATTAGAAGTACATATTTGCTCATAGAAAACTGCCTAAACTGACACCAAAGGGAAATGCAGGGTACCTGAGGTGCCCATCTTGAAGAGCATATTGGGAACCCCATGTTCTTGGTTATTATGATATGCAAATATGAACTTTGGAAAGAAGAGCATTGAGTTATCCTACCTCCACCCTCTCAATGACCAAGTAGGGCATTGCAGGAAAGGTTTGGCTAGCGCTAGTTTTCTGAGTTAAGATTTGTAGCCCTAGGCAAGCATGGTAGGAGGGTTACGCTGTGCGCCTGCATTCTAGTTTATGGGACTTTTTTTTTTTTTTTTTTCGTTTTGCAATTAAGTAATTTTATCATCTACAATTTATAATCTATGATTTGGAAACTCTCAAACATTTCTTCACTTTCAGTGGGGACCATGTTGTATTTACTTTTTTGCATGTTGCGAAGCATATTAGACTGGCTTCAGACATGAGCTTGAAGCGGTCAGTCTACAAACCAAGTGTGTACACACAGTTCACTATCTGCAGAACCTACATAAGTATGCATATATTATGCCGTTAAGCCACTAGGTATTTTTTTTTTTTGTACGCCATTTCCTCAGCGAGGTTTGCAAAAAGAAAAGCAATACTCTTAATTCCTCCTTTTCTGTAAACTGATGTTTAAGTGAAACTGGATACATCTCGTTTTTAGTCATTAAGGTTTTCCCTTGGTGCTCTTTAGATTAATGAATTAAAGTTTTTTGTTTTTTTTGTTTTTTTTTTTTTTTTTAAATGTGTCTATTTAATTTTTATACATTAGTGCATTCTCTACATTAAGGTAAAAAAAAAAAACTTTGTGTGTTCTCCCATCCTCCCCATCCCAAACACTTCGATCCAGCACTGTGCCAAGGTGCAGTTCTTTTCCTTTCTTTCTGGTATCTCAGGCTTTGCTGAGAATAGCGGGAGCTGTTGGCTCCTGCTGCTGTCAGTAAATCCAGTGATCAGAAAGTGGGAGTCTGGGCCAAGCTGCACTGTGTGCCTGTGGACGCTCGCAGTCCAGCTCGGGAGTGGGCTTGCATCTCTACCCCCATAGCGAACAGCTTACTATGGGGGCAGACACGGAAGAGGAGCAGCAGAGTGTAGACGTGGGATCCCAGAAGAGGAATGGCTCTGTCGTTACCATTGCAGTGAGCAGGCAAGTATCCTGTTTATTATTTTAATAAACTAAAAATAAACTTTGCTCTCACAATGAAAGCTAACCTTTTTCCAGGAAAATGGCTAAATATACAGCTGAAATACCTGTAAAAGAGCACATCACCTGCCAGCAGATTTGTATTTCTTTCCATTCAATCTTGAGAATCTGAGTCTAGGGCAGGAGACCTGATTTGTCTTTGCTGCGATTAAGTAACAATTACACGTCCTGTTCTTCCCCCAGCCTGTGCCTGGACAGTGAAAGTAGAAATATTTAGAAGCTTAGTTTTTGCTGCTTGCTATGCAGCAGAAATGATAGATATAGATTATATATCTATTTTTTTTTTTTTTTTTGTGCTGCTCCTCCCAACCGAGTCTGAGCTCTGCTGTGCCAGGACTGCAACTTGGTGATGCCAAGACAAATTCTGATAACTACTTTTTAAATATCAATTTAAGCATATATTGATGACTATAGAGCTCCATTATTGTTTCTTTTCTATCTATCCTGAGTTCAGCTTTAATTAAACATTGTCAAAATCCTCACAGACGCCTTCTTTTCTGCTCCTGGTTTCACAACAATACATTGTTAGCATGTTTGTGCACATGGCTGATGGAATACTATCTCACATGATTCTCTTCCATATGTGGCTTCAGCAGAGAAGCCCTTATGTTATGCACAAGGCAGGTTAACAAACAGAAATGGGCTGCACCTGTCCTAATGTACATGTTTAGTTATTCCAGTTATTTTGTAAATCATTATATAATTTTTTTTTAAATTAATTTTATTTTTGCTTCCACACTGGTTGTAGTTGTGATTTGGTTTCATTATTATTATTATTATTAATTTTTTGTTCGCTTCTTACTGGCTGTTGTGATTGGGTTGCAATAATTCTTACATAACCTCCATTTTATATTCTCTTTTTATTGGATATCTAAACCCAAGACCAAAATGTAATATATTGCAGCTTACAAGTCCTTGGATATGGTGGCTGCCTTCGTTGTCTATCTTCAGTCATAGTACAGAAAAATACCTGTTGATCCTGTCAAAATCTATGTCCTTGTAACCTATGAGCAGACCTGATATCTCAAACCATTATCAACTTCCCCAGCTGTCTTCTGTGCAATACAAAATAACTCCCTTTTTATATAATATGTTTTTTTTGTAGTGCAGAGCAGCCAGGGGTGACAATGCTGCTCCTCCACAGACAATTGAATGTTATCACCCTAACACCGTTAGTGTTAATGGCAGGATTACCAGGTGAAAAAGGAAGAAAAGCCTGAAAAAAAAAAAAAAGAGAACAAATGTGTTCACCACATTTTAGGAACAAGCAAAGCAGTGCATTAACGTTTTATATTTAGACACACTTTGATCCAGTCTGAAATGGAAAAAGCCATTTTTAAATGCTGAGTACTGTGTTGCTTTAATGGTCAGTGGGGATCACAGCCTTTCACTTCCACAGTCACGATGCTCTCCATTGGCCAGATTCGGTAATCAGCATGAAGATCATAAGGTATAAGTATAAGCGTAACAGTGGTCCGCATGCTACAGTGAGCACCAATAAATTGTGATCAAATTATTTCTGCTTTATAAACAAAAAAATGGCATTACACCCTAATTGTGATGCTTAACTAAATATGAATTCTTGTGAGTGAAGTCAGCCTCTGGCTTCTTGTATATTTTGTTGCATCCCCAAAGTTGAATTTTGTCGACTTTGTTCCTGGTCAACTTGGAGAATTGTGTCCCCAATCATCTTTTTATATCTTATAGCCCATTTTGTTTGCATTCCTAAGATAAAGTCCAATGGGAAATGGGAACCCCTAATAATGACCCAGTAACTCAGTGCAAAGAAGTCTTCCAAATTTCCTGAAAGATATAAAACTGTCTTGTGGTTTAAAACTCCAGGCTCTACAAATACTGAAATATCTGTATTGGGTGAACTGACCCAGACATTTTTAGCGATTGACTATTACTTTGTTTTGAAGTGAATTATATAATTAAGCCCTTGTGTGCAATTTTTCTTGATTGTGTTTTCTTGGTGTACAGATTGTCTGGTTTTCAATTTTTCTCTTGTAAGAATGAGTTGATTCCGCAATATGACTGGCATAAAAGTATTTTTGCGTGTCTTTGCTAGTGTCCTAAGCATTTTAAAACCGTAACATCTATACGTAAAGTAGACCTTGAAGTAAAATTCAAGGACTGCTTACATTTCCCAGACCCTTCATTTTTCACAAAGCATATATCTCTAGCATGGAGCTTTTTTTTTTTTTTTTTTTTTTCCCCTTCCTCGCTGGTTGTAATTTAGTAGGTGTAAAATGTACATGTAAGGTGAAAAAACATTAGGGGTTGTACTTGCCTCACCCCTGTCTTCCACCTGTGGTGCCTAGGCAAGAAAAACCTCCTACTCCTGGCTATATCCAGGGAATTACAGAGGAGCTGAAATTTTGTAAGATGCTCTTAGGTTGGACTGGTTTTTTTTTTTTTTGTTTTTGGTTGTTTTTTTTGTCAGTATTTGCATACTTTGCATTCCTTAGGAATCTTTATTTTATGGGTATACTATAAATGTACTAACAGATGACTTTGCAAAGGGGGAGGGGGCCCAGGCAATTTGAACAGACCATGCATTTTACTGCAAGATCTGCTTTAAGAAATCTGAACTAATTTTTGCTTATTTTTGAATGAATTAATTACCTCCTCATTTATTTAGGGATGATCGGATCGCTAAAACTGAGCAAATTCAAGCAAAGCCCAGTGAAGGTTTAGAAGTTCGCAAAGACTCTGAAGAATGTCCAACCACCTCGCCTCAAGCTCCTGCCCCAGCAACAGGACCGAAATCTCTTCTTGGCAAAGGTCCACCAGTTGACTCGCAGGTTAGCTTTGTTTACTGTATAGCTCTAAACGGGTTGGTTGCCAAAAGGCTATGCTATTTGTGATGTAAAAAAGATCATGAAAATTCAAAACCAGATAAAGCATTCTAACTGGGTTTATAGATTTAGTCCGTAACCTATATTTGTGATTTAATGTCTTGTAGACATAGTTATCTCAGATGAATCTAAAGCATAATTTAAGGCAAAACTTTTTAGTTTTGGATAGAGTGGAGAGGGAATAGATTACCTGATAGTGTTTTTTTTTTTTTTTTTTTTTTTTAAATTGCTGTCTATGCCCTAGTTAGACAGATTCATTTTATTTGTCATGCGTACAATTAATGCGTACAATGAATGTTAAAGTAAAAGGAAATGCCAAATTTTGAGTTGTCCCCAGAAGAGTAATAGAAGGTAAATGCTTCAATGGACACATTCGTTCTGGTAAAAAGAAAAAAGGGTACTTTGGAGGGATTTTCTCTCATTTCCTTTTTTGGATATGGGACAGGAAGTGAAGGGAAATTTCCCCAATAGAACACAGATGGCAAAAAATCCTCAGGGGTTATATCCCTCCCCTCCATCAAAAATTGGGGGGAAAAACGTTTCGCCTCTAGTTCTACTTTTAGACCACTGTTCTTTAGATGAGCAGAATGTCACAGAATATTGTATCTTGTGATTCTGCTGACATACATTTTAATTTATTCTGTTTTGGTTTTCATAGGATCGGCGCCAGATGCCTCCATCACTTTTGTCTCTTGATAAGAACATCCCACCTCTAATGCAAGCCAAAACTGCTCCCCAACAGCAGGTATCTCTTTAAACCTGTTTCTGCAGAATGTGTTGGTCACTGTAACCTAGTGACTGTAATGTAGATGAACAAACACTGTGCTCATTCTAATTTTACAGGAATGCAGGGGCGGGTGAGTGACTCTAAATGTAGAACGTGTGCGTATGTGGCTGCGCATGGCTGTCAAATTTAGTCCACTCATAGTTACAGTAATTCCCTCCTTTGTGCTTTTTAGTGACTTGCTTTTGGGTTTTATTGCTCTTGAGCTTCTTATTTTTGGGAGGAAAACAAACTTATCTATAGAAAACAATCAAATAATTAACCATATATCTAATTGCAGTGACTGAATACTGGGCTCTAAACACAGACATTCATGTGCCATACTTAGAATGAATATCATATGAAAACGACACTGTGTGCGTCTCCCATGGAGATAGGTGCCTTCATCGGTTGCTGGGTGTTGGGCCTAAGCGCTAACAATTAAATAGAACCAGGGGCGGACTGACCGTTCAAGCACTCGGGCAATGCCCGAGGGCCCGGGGTCAGTAGGGGGCCCCATGAGATGCCCCTGGTACCTTTTCATTGTTTTTTTTCATAGGCTTTTTTTGGGTGTGGGCAAAGACCTAGGGGCCCATCATCCCCTATTGCCCAGGGGCCCCATGAGTTGTCAGTCCGCGCCTGAATAGAACCCAGGCGTTTGCACGCTGTGTTCTCAGGTTCATGGCAATTCTGTGCACAGCTTTTTTTTTTTTTTTTTTTTTTTTTTAATTTTAATATGACTACTCCTGGGGCAATGAAGACTTGAAATAAATGGGCCCTTTATCCAAAGAAAAGCAACGTGTTCACTTTAAAGCCAGCCCTTATACTTGCCCTACCTTTCTATCCTTGCTGCTCTGTTTTTTCTGTTTGCCTGCTGGGGCAAAAAGAAACTTTGCAGGCTCCATGTGATGACTTATGAAGGGTTCATGTCTACCCCCCCCCCCCCCCCAGGCTGCCATCTTATCATTCAGTTAGCAAGCACTGTCACATTTTTAAGAAAAGGAATGTGAGTCACATCCTCTTCCATAACCACAAATACAAGGTTTCTAGTCTCTGATTGGCCAAACAGCTGGTGAGTTGTTGGGGATGACAATAACCTGTTTCTTTGCATTAAATGGACAAAACATGGGTGGACTTTGTGTGGTGCCTTTTATTGTACTTTTTAATAAGTTGGGTCTCTAGTGAGAATTGAGCCCAGACATTCTGCTTTTTGCTAGCTACAGAAAAAAAAATTATTACGTGCAAAGCTATTCTATCCAACCTCAAAGTTATTACCTCCAAGTAATGCTGTCCATACTTGATAGCTGTTTCAATGAAAGGATCACATCTTTGACATATTGTTTGGTTAAAATGATCATTTAGATCAGTTTTAATCTAAGAAGGGGTGATCCATTTTTGTGAAAAGCAGATTTTAATTTGACCAAACTGATCTTTTCCATTGCTGAACAATTTATTTTCAAGGAAAAATTTGCTTCAGAAGTTTAGCATTATATGTATGGCCAACAGAGGTAACTGTTGATCCTTAACCTGTCTGAAGTTCTTCTCCTTGTCTAGATTAGAGCTAGCAAAAGTGTGACCATTCCAGTGCAGTCAAGATTTAGACAAAAACAGACTATCGGAGTTGCTTTAATTTGTATGCTCTGTCTCCATTGTTTAGCACCCACCTCAAGGTCGCTCAGGTGCCCCATCAAGACCAGCACCACTACAGTCCCGTCCCAGTGAGGATGAAATGTGGAAACAAAGACGTCGACAACAGACAGAAGTTTCTGCCGCAGTAGAACGTGCCCGCAAAAGACGTGAGGAAGAAGAAAGGAGAATGGATGAACAAAGGAAAGCAGCATGCGCGGAAAAACTAAAGCGCCTAAATGAGAAATTTGCAGTGGCTGCTACTACTGCTACTACTACTGCTACTACTACAACATCTACAGCAGAACCTGACAAACCAGCAGCTGAAAAATCTCCAGAGGAAAAAAATATAGCTGAAGAATCCTCTCAAGATTCTGTCCCTAAAGAGGAGCAAGCTATTGAAAATGACCAGCTTATGAAAGAAATAGAACAGGAAAGACCAGAGACTCCTGTACAACATGAAGAGACAAAGGAAGAAGTTCTCTCCAATCCTGATCTAGAGCTTGTACAGGAAGAGGGGAGTGTACCTGATTTGGAAGAAAAATCTGATTTAGGTATTCTGTTTCTGATTGCTTTTATATCCTATTTAGCTGCTATATAAATTATATACAATATATGTGTAGCAAAGAACAGTTGTGCTGAGCACTGTTTTTCATGCAGAATGCTAGCCATCTAGAAAATGCTATGTAATGGACCTGTGTATGTATTTTAACCACTAGCCAACAGGGCACTTATACCCCCTTCCTGCTTTCAGCGCTGTCACACTTTGACAATTGTGCGGTCATGCAACACTGTACCCATATGACATTTTTATCATTATTTTGAGACAGATAGAGCTTTCTTTTGGTGGAATTTAATCACCTCTGGGATTTTTATTTTTTCTTAAAAAAAACCGAAAACCACTGAAAATTTTGAAAAAAAAAAACTTTTTTTCTTAGTTTTTTGTTATACAATTTTGTAAATAAGTGATTTTTTTTCTCCTTCACTGATGTGCGCTAATGAGGCTGCAGTGATGGGCACTGATAGGCTGCACTGATGGGCACTGATGCGTTTACATGTGATCAGCTGTGATTGGACACAGCTGATCACATGACCGAGCCGACATCTTCGGCTCTTTCCGTGATCCGCTGTGTCCGAGGGACACAGCGCACCGGCGATCGTTGTGCTCTCCCTGAGCCGCGCATGCGCGCGGTGAGAATGGAAGGACGTCATATGACGTCCTATCCCAGAATGAGAGAACCACCTTGTGCCCGTCATTGTACTATATGGCGGGCGGAAGGTGGTGGTTAAAGGTTAACTTCGTTGCCGTAGTCGTACAGTGCAAGACACGGGTTGATTCCTAGACTATGGGGTTATATGTTGCTAGCTTCAGGTGATTGGACACTGACAAAAGCTTTGCTGGGAACTCCTACCCCAAGCCCCCTCCCCAGAGTACCCATTCAAGGCCTATACACAAACACTGCTAAAGCTCCCTAAATCGGGCTCCCTCACAGACGCCCACATGTGGCCGGTTTGACAAAATCAGAATTCTCTGCCACTATGTCTGTTCCATTCCAAAGGTTATCACCATTTCTGGAGTCTAAGGATACCAACACCTATAAATGCTCTTCTGCCTCTCCTCCGCTAATTAGTTTAGATGTTATAACCTGACTACCTAGTGCATTTCCATTTGCAGAAGGCATGGGGATGCTGCTGATTTTCTTCAGTTCCTCAATTTTAGTTACTACTGCAGCTTTTGACAACATGCTGGTTATTCTGGACTCATTGGTCAAAGAAGTGTGTTCTAGTCTCTGCATAGATACTTAGTGCTGCTAATTTCCCACATATTCTTCCAAGCATGAAAAAAAGCTATTCCTAGGAAGCCCTTTTGTATTCTTGATTAATCCGATTGGGCCTTTTATAATTGCCCCAACTTGGAGAGGTTATTCCCTTCTTATAATTTGTATGCCTTGTTATCCCATGGAAGGGGAGCTTAAAGGATAAGGTCACCTTTTTAAAAAAAAATAAAATAAATGCACATCTTTTTGCAGGTAAGAAAATGGGTATTTATTTTTTTTTTTTTTTTTTTAAAATATATATATTAGGAGCCTCTAAAGCTTTGTACCTGCAATCAGCAGATCACGGGTGCAATGCAAGGCTCCTACAGACAGTTGGTGAAAGCTGTCTGTTCATACCTCATACTGGCAGGTAGTTACACGACAGAAACCATCAATTGACTACCTAGAGCAGTCAACAGCGCTCTGTTAGTTGATTGAAAACTATAAGCAGTCAGCCGCAAAGGTTTTCCCATTCACTGTGACAGCGAGTTCAGGGAGAAGATCCACAGCTCATTGTCACTAGAGGCAACAGATCGGGGAGAGGCTGCAGCAGTGGGAACACGTTACATGTAACATGTTCCCAAAGGTGAACTTCTCCATTAAAAAGAAGTGGACTTTTCTTACTGTGGGCCTGACTATTCTTGCAGTATATAATAATTTTTTTCCTTTACTGGGCCAATACCACAAAAAACCCGAGTGAGGCGTGTCAAGGTGTTGTCGAACATATTGTAACTGGGCTTTTTTTGTGGCAGTGACACCGTAAAGGTTTCTCTAACCTTTCTGCTCATTTTTGTTCAAGTATGTTCGTTCTGTGCTCTTTGAAACAACCACACTGTATTTTTCCAGAGCAGTCTGTATTTCTCCTGAGTTTACCTGTGGGCTTTTCTTTGTACCCCGAACAATTCGTCTGGCAGTTGTAGGGGGGCTGTGTGGCTGCAGTCTTTCTTGGTCCACTTTTCCACTGATTAAGTAATTGAACAGTACTAATTGGCATATTTTTTTTTTATATATATATATATATATATATATATATATATATATATATTGTGTGTAAATCCTCTTCTCTTTGAGACATGTAAGGTTATTATTGGCACATTGGTATCCCTCAGAATGTGGGTGCCCATATCTGTCCTGGGGTCTTTTCTTGGTATCCCCATTGTGGGACACAGACCACCACCTCTGAAAAGAACAGTCACCATAGGCCTAGACAGACAACTTGTTGAGAGGCTACACACCTCCAAGTGTCTTGCTTTCATCAGGTTGCACAGCACGTGTAGGCCATGTTACCAGCATAGCTCTGTGGTAGAGAGGTCCACAGCGTGGTTGCCGTTTACTCTGATTTGGATCTAGTTTATGAGCAGACCTGTGTCTGCCTCTAAGGATCAGGTAGTCCCTGGCCTGGTCACTCAGCTTTCCTCATCAGTCACCTGACAAGGACTTTTTTCCCTATCCTGTGAGGCTCCTTTCAGTTGAGAATCATTGGGGCTGCATTCTGGATTTCCATAACAGCTGGTTCCTTCTACATCTTGGGATCCCTATCTAGTTGGGTGACCTGGTTTTAACACCATTGGAAACAATCTAGGTACTGCTGTGTCTTCACCTTCCAAAGCAGGAACCCTTCTTGATTCCCCATCAAAGCTTTTTGTCTTTTTTTGTTTGTTTTTTTTAAGAGCTTTATTGTCATATGCACAAATATATACAGCATAACAGAGCTGCAAACACAATTTGTGGTACAAAATCTTAAAGGGAATATACAAATAAGAGCAAAAGCAAGTCCGCAAGTATTATCCATTTCTACCAAGACATTGCACAATGTAACACAACCAAATGTCTAGTCAGATGTTTTCTGCAAAGCCATACAATAAATATAGTAATAAGGATACCATAAGTACATATAGCAGTTTCACATGTATTATATTGAATGCCCCCTTTGAAGCTTTTGGATATGGAGGAGAGATTCATGGTTGGTCAGTCAGCTCTTGGGCTGTGGACAGTCCCCAGTTCTCTTAGACGTTGTTGCTGTGTGCCCGCCCCTTCAGTTGGACTCTTTTTGGGCATCCGAAAAAATTATTTCCTGTGTCACTTGAGTTGAGGGTTGAGAAAAAAGGATATTTGTACTCAGTGTAAAATAATTTCCTGAATTCCATTGAGGCAAACAGGTCAAACACCTCCCATGTTTATGATCATGCTCTTGGTACTGCTTGCTACAAAGTAAGTCATGCTGGGTAGAGGAGGAGTTATCCTGGGCTGCCTTACATATTTTTGTTTGCCGTTCTCCAATCCTGTAGGCAGCAGTATGACCCCACAGAATTGACTTTCTTTATCCATCAGTGGACAAGAAAATACTTTTACAGTGATATTTACTAAAAGTATTTCCTATTTAAACCTAGTAAGTATAAGTTAACACTAATCAGCCCTAATTTAAAGAGGAGTTCTGCACTGGGAAAAGGTATTTAGTTTATATTTACTTAAATAATTGCATTTCCATGTTCTGTGTACTGTGGGAGACCAGATATCGGGAGTCCTGGGTTTAGTAACACTTTAATCAGCTCTAATTTTCTCATAGGAAATAATTATAATGCACAGAATATGGCAGGTTTTGTTGGAGCTGTGCAAAATGTTCTATAGCCTAAGTACACTTTATAACCCAGGGTGGCAATCCTGCTCTTCTATAGGTACAGTACAGTTAGGTTAGGACAGTTAGTGCATTACGAACAGTATTACCAGGTGGAGTTAAAGGTGAAAACAAAATACAGCCACCGTTTCTAAAGACTGGTCAGCTTATATTAAATGTTTGTACTTTTACATACTTAAATATACCCAGTTAAAATGCGTGATTATGCTTCAGCCACATTTTGAGTAGCCATCTGTCTTTGGCAAAGAGACCATTCTAAAAAAATTATTGTAGACCTAGATCTAGATTATATAGAAGTTGTCTCTTGGCAGATCCCAGCTGTTTGATTTACATGAAAATGTTATCTATCTAGTTTCATCGTCCTCTTGCGGTTTAATCATTTCTTGTGTTACACACTGTTAGAGATGACCTTAGTGCATTTAATTCAATTACGGTTCTCTTAAAGATCTATATTTTAATTCCAGTATGTAATGTAAGCTTTGTATGTTGTGTTCTTTTTTTTTAAACGGTTTCTTTTTCTTCTTTTCATAGTTGAGGAAGAGCCACCGTTTACAAGAAAAGATAGTGTTTCCAGTGACCAAGAAAATTCCCCACCAGCAATACCTGTGCAATTAGCAACACCTCCGCCTGTCATCCAACAACCTTCACTTCCATCTCCTGTTAGTGCTCTTCCACCTGCTCCCTCTCCAGTGCCAGGGCCCGTTTTGTCACATGATAATGACTCAGAAGCTGGAACCCAACCACGTCCTTCTGTTTCTTCTGGGTACTCTAAACAGTTTCAGAAATCTTTACCTCCAAGTTTCAGCAGCGACAACAGGTACTCCTCTACCCATGTTTCCTGTCATACTGTTGTGTTGAAATTTCCTCTACCATCTGTTATGATTTCACTGTTTAACCCCTTGATGCCCACATAACCCAAATATTTGTCCTCATGGTACTGGGCTTTTTTCCGTGGAGCCGAATATTTGCGTACCTGTCTTTGTGCTGAGAGCGCTCCGCACGGCGTGCTCCTATCACAAAGACCGTGGTGTCACTGAGAGCCCTGGGTCACATGATTGCTGTGATAGCCTCTGATTGGCTATCACAGTGTTCAGTAACTGTGCAGCCCGGCCCCCTTGTTTTTTTGTTTTTGTTTTTTTTTTTCTCTCTCTCTATGAATGGAGGAGAGAGATATATTTGTATCGCTAACTCCTGACATAGAGGGGAAAAAAAATGTTTGTAAAAAAGAAAAGATAAATATTAAATAAAATAAAGAAATAATACCTAGATTTCTAGTGCCAGGGTTAGTGTTTGGGTTCAAAGGTCAGGGTCAAAGGTTAGGATGTTTTTTTTTTTTTTTTTTTTTTTTTTTTTAAATGTCAGTGTGTTTTGGGTAAAAAAAAAAAGACAAAAACAAAATGTACACTATTGTTTCTGGGCTGTACTACGGGAACAAACAACAAATAACATACACATATATGGTATCACTGCCATCGTCAAGAGCTGGAAAATTTATTTTGGGTTGTTCTTTGGTGGTAGGTTATGGTAGTAACGAGAAACACACAGTTAAATAAAAAAAGATTTTTTTTTTTTTTTTTAATACTATTTTGGACCAATCAGGAGATATCCATTACCATTTACCACCAAATGAAAGCCCAATTTGTCCTGGGAAAAAAAAAACAAGGTATAATTCACCTGGATGTACAAAGTAGTTGTGATGATATGTATGGTTTTACTAATACATGTCAACGTTGCAAAATTGTGCTTAGGCATTTAGATTTGTTTTACCCTTAGACGTGAAGGGGTTAATGGGCTTGTGCTGTTTGTGTTTTAGGAACAGATGAAAACAGCAGCAGTGGCAGCAGCAGCAACAAGGTGTACTCTCTCAGCCAACTCAGTCACAGCCCTCTAGCAGTCCTGTTCCTCCACCACAACACAGGCCACTTTACCAGCCTTTAGGACCCCATCCTCAGCATTTGGCTTCCATGGCTTTTGATCCCCGCTGGCTGATGATGCAGCCATACATGGATCCAAGAATGATGTCTGGAAGACCTACAATGGATATGCCACCTATGCATCCTGGTAAGATTGTTTTTATTCATTGTTGTTTCTTTATTTGTGATGCTGAATATTTACACTAGTTACCCTCTCATAAACAGTAAAATGTAACAGGCATATACATTGGTATGCTAATCAGGCCAAAATTAAGTTCACTATTCCCTTTATTTACAGGGATGATACCAACCAAGCCAATGATGAGACGGGAACAGATGGATGCTTCAGCAACTGCTTCTGAACCATATGACCACATGGCTCGATCTGTAAGAGACCATGGTGTCCCGCTATCTGAGCCTCGCATGATGTGGGGAGCAGAGTCTTACCCACACTCAGACACTCCACAAGTCTCCTCATCTGCAAAAGAATTGGAGGAGCCTGAAGATTACAGGTAGAGTTGTATGTTTGTGTTTTCCTGTGTACACACACAACTTGGAAGATTTCTGTATTTGTGTAGGGTTTGTGTAAGTTTAAGCATATATATTTTTAGAGAGGAGCTAACTTAAGGACCTGGCGATATTCCCGAGTGTAGCTCGGGGTAAAGTTTCAGCACCACAAGCGGTAACCCCGAGCTACACTCGGGAATACCCTGCAGCATTGCTCCGGGATCCCTTGTTCACTTACCTTGTCCTGCGCTCCCGCGATGTCCCCCCTGCAGCGTCCCCGGCAATGTCCTCTGGTCAATGCCTGCATCTGTCTTCCTGAGTTCCGTTCCCTGCAACGTCAGGACGTACGGGGACGGAACTGGCAGGAAATTTAAAAATGTCAAAAAGTGACATTAACTAAATACACTAAAATCGCATAGTAAAGCACTACTGTTTCAAACTATTTCACATACATTTTGTCCCGAGTGCTTTGTCCTGTGCCCTGCCTGCATATTTACTGTTCTTTCTGCCTGGAAACTGAGAAATGTCCATGGCGTCCAAAAAGCGTCTCTTTAGGTCAAAAGCGGTTTTAGACCGGCTAGAGAACAGTGATAGTAAATTAGAACTACTTGCAGAATTAAGTGATAATGATTCGTGGGGAAATTCGTCATCAGACACTGAAAACGATTTTGTGACTTTGCTCAGTGATGTGCAAACTTGGCGCTATATTTCAAATTTCAGTGTTTTTGGTTTGATTATATTATTGAATTAAATGTATTATTATTCAATTATTATTTTTTATGATTATTTATTAAATTATAATTTATGATTTCGTGTTTCAAATTTTATCATACCCGGGATGTTTACTAGACTCTTGTTCGGACAGATTTCAGTGAGTTATTCCTAAAAATTACAGGCCTACAATAAAAAAAAAAACTACATATTTCCATGCAAAAAAATGTCCCGCTTTGAGCACAGAAATACTGACATAATCAGACCGCTAGGGAGATTAAGTGCAGACATTTAAATAGCTGTGCAATCTCATGTTTTTCTTGTGAATGACTATTCAAATTACTAAATAGGCCTCAAAGGTTTCACATAAGTGTTTTTGATGCAAACTTTCTGTTAAATGTGTATATATACCTACGTGACTTCTGAATAGTTCTAAAAATTATTGCTTTTTATTTTATTTTTTTTTTTGTCAGGTCTGAAACCTCTGTGGATCAGGACATAATATCTGAAACCTACTCAATGGATCGTATAACTTTTGAATCACAACACAAAACTGACTTTTTCTCGAGATCTCGAGAGCCTGAAATTCACAGTGCACCTATAAGGCATCCAGAACCTGTTCAGTTGCCTCAGGCAGAGGAACAAGACACACGACTTTCCGGGTTTGATCAAACAGAGAAGCAGGCCCCCTTAGACGATGCTTCCCACATTGACATCCAACCTGTCTTGACCAGAAGTTTATCCAGTGAGTCAGCACACACTGTGAAACAGGAAGAAAGGAGGACAGATGCTGTGACAGCAACTTCTAAAGTTTCTGCTAGACCTCCGGAACCTACAAAAGAAGTAGTGGAAGAAAAACCAAGAAAAGAGAGTTTTCAGAGCTCCAAAGCACCTGAGCTTCCAAAAATAGAAAAACCTTTCAAACCAAAATCTGAAACAAGGTGGGGTCCAAGACCTGGTTCTCGCAGTAGAGAAGAAGGTATTGATAGACCCATAAGGAGATCAGGTCCTATCAAAAAACCTATTCTTCGGGACATGAAAGAGGAACGTGAATTGAGAAAAGAAAGGGAGGAGGAGAAATTTGGTCAAGAAAAAATAGTGAAACAAGAGAAAGTAGAAACCGAAAACCTTTACCAGCTCAACCAACATCTAGCCCTCATCACTCAGTCAGTAAAAATGAACAAGATAAGCAATTGTCTTTCCACTCTTCCCAAAGTACAAAGTGCTAACACCTTACACTCAGAAAAGCCATTAGAAAGCACATCTTCTGAAATTACACCTAAACCAGTTTCTCAGCCAGCACCACCTAGCCAGCCAAGTAAGGAAGAAAAAATTGTACGGGTTGTCAGCAAAGAAAATAAGGAACCTCCCTTGGATAAACCCAAACCAGATTCAAAACCTTCATTGGTTTCACAGACCAGTTCTTCAACAATACCTCATCGAAAAGAGCCTCTGCTCCCCCCAAGAGCTTATAGGAAAGAGGCTAGGGACAGAGACTGGTTTCCTGAACAAGGTTATCGTGGAAGAGGGCGAGGAGAGTACTACTCCAGAGGAAGAAGTTACCGAGGTTCCTATGGAGGGAGGGGGAGAGGAGGCAGGGGTCAAAGTAGAGACTACCCACATTACAGAGACACTAAACCCCGTAGTGAACAAGTTCCTCCTGGAGCTGTAAGGCGCAGGGATGAAAGTGAAACTCGCAGTGAAAGTTCAGACTTTGAAGTTATGCCTAAGAGGCTCAGGCAACGTGGGTCTGAAACAGACTCTGACAGTGAAGGCCGTGAAAGTGCAAGTGACACACCTTTATCAGATAAGGAAAGTGCAAGCAGAAGCAAACCTCGCAGAGATGACCGCTCTGAAATCAAAAGGGCACCTAAATCTGTTCCGGTTTTAAAATCTGATCCTGGGGTATCAAGGTCAGAGGTTAGACCATCTGAAAGACACTTCTCTAGAGAAGATGATTCTAGAACAAAACCTGGTTTCTTGCCAAAAGGAGAACCGTCCCGTAGAGGCAGAGGAGCTGGAAGTTTTCGTCGTGGGGGAAGAGAGCCTGGCATCCGTACATCACGCCCTCCACCACCACGAAGATCTAATTATAGGGATAACCAGTGGATGCCAAGACAGCAGGAATCAAGACCACCACCTCCTCCAAGACTTGATGAAGGGGAAAACAAACAGGAACATCCAACTTTACCTGGAGATAAAAGGCCGCTTATTAAATTTGAGCGCAAATTTGATCCTTCAAGGGACAGACCGCGACGGCAGAGACCAACACGTCCACCAAGACAAGATAAGCCTCCTAGATTTAGACGATTAAAAGAAAGGGAAAGAGAAGATGCTGGGAAACCTGTTGAGGTTACAGGATCTTCTAATCAAGGAGTGCCTGTCTCTAATACGGTTCATGAACTTCCCTCTGATTTCTCTGGTAACAAAACTCCAGACTTGTCTAATCATAATTCCTCTGACCAGGCCAATGAGGAGTGGGAAACTGCTTCAGAAAGTAGTGACTTCAATGAGCGACGGGAAAGAGATGAGCGGAAAGCTGCCACATCCACCAGTATTCAGTCACCTGCCACTAGTAAAGCTGCGGATGGCTTGGCTCAGTCGCCACCTAAAAGAGAGAGTGCCAAAAGAAGTTTTTCTAGTCAAAGACCTGGCATGGATCGTCAGAACCGTAGAGGAAATACTGGCACTCCCAAACCTAGCAGGCATTATTCTGGGCCCAGGAGTGAACGACGGAGTGGCACTTCACTGCAGAGGGGAAAAAGAGGGTAAGAAAAATGCTAAATCTTATTTTAAAGAATATCTAAACTCAATATTTTATTTTCCTGATATGTTCTTGTTGTACCATACACTTTTGTATGAGAAAATATACGGTTTTCTTTGTGTGAAAGCCCTGGTGTTTCCTATTAAAAACTAACCACCTAGCTGTACTGAGAATCCTACACCTACCACTGCATAGCCATTCACTGGGAAGATCATTGTACTGCTGTTTCTCCTCCCAGCTCCTTATGCAGCTGAGTGCAGAGGGTATGTAATCGCTTATTAAAAACTGGGAAGAATTGTATTTAAAATGTTTTTTTTTTTTTTTTTTTTTTTTTTTTTTTTTTTTTTTTTGTTCTATGCTTTACACAAATGTTTTTGCCTTTCATTTCTATTTTAAATTGAATGCGTTCTTTTACAAGGTGAGGGTGTACATATACTTTAAGATCCTAAAGTTTTTGTTTTTTATGTTTTGAATGAATAGCAATAGAACCCCCTTTTAGGATTTTTATTGCTGTGTCTCCGTTATGTGATAGAGGGGGGGGTGCCGGTTCTGATTATGACAAGAAGGGAGTTCTCACTTTGAAAATATTCTTTCTCACTTCCTGTTGTGCTTGCACTTTCTTCAATAGAAGCCTGTTTCTTGAGTGTGAATACGATCAATGCACAACCAGTTTGTTCTTTTGCTATAGACTAAAGCCGGTACAGGCTCTGAAAAAGATCCTGACCATGAGGTCAGGATCCACGCAGATGCCTGCACTGGCAGCTGGCTCAGTGCTTCTCCAGTGAATTCTGGAGGGCAGAGCAGAGAGCCAGTGACTGACAGTCACTGTCTGCCTGCTTACTGAAGGCTGAGAGCGATCAACAGTCTTTGATTGCTCAATCTTAGAAGCGGCAGGGGCCAAATACAGCATTGGATCGATGCTGCATCCACCTAAGAAAGTATGTAAAGTTTGTTCTTTTTTCAAACCTATACTTCTTTTTAAATCACCAGGACTAGGTTTGAATTGTATTCACTACAGTGTAGACTTTTTGCGCTAAAACTAAACCACTTAGAGCTCAGTCTCAGGTGTTTGACCAGTTTACATCACACAACAGTACTCACTTTTTACTGCCTCTTCCGCCTAGAGCCCCTAAAAAGGTTTTCAAGCACTATCTGCCACCCTTTTGCCACAAAGATGCATTACAGGACAATCTCCTTCTGGACACATTTGCCCTATATTTCATACCCCACTCTGTGAGTTTTGCCATAGGGGATTACACTCACACATAGCTATGGCAGAGGCCAGGTGAAGGTTAAAATCCCTCAACAAATATCTTCAAATTCCAAAATCTCACATGGAATCCACAAGGTCTTTGCCATGTGTTCCCCTTGTCTCTCTGAGACAAGGATATTATATGGCATTCATAGACATCCAAGATGCCTATCTGCATGTTCCCATTCATCCATCTCATTGGTGCTTTCTACACTTTTCCCTGCATATCTAACATGTAGTTTTGGATGTGAACCTTCAGTAACATTGGGGCAAAACAAGAGGGTGTATTGGCCAATGGCTTAGTCCACCGGTCACCTGCAATTAACGTAAAAAAAAAATGATTTTTTTTTTTTTTTTTTTTTTTTTAAAGCAGTTTTGTATCTGATGCATTTACACAGTTCACATTTTATCTGTTTTTCAATCAGTCCTATAGATGACCAGATAGCTGGCATGAATGCAACAGATTCATCTGGAGGCAGCAGCACTGTCCACAATCACCATTACCACACTTATCACCAACATTCTGATGATGGAAGTGCCATTGCACCATCAAAGACGGTCAAAGATTCTTCTAGCAAAAAGAAAGACGAAGCCAAGCTGGTAGTAAAAAAGCCGAAGGAGAAGGTGGATGCGTTATCACAGTTTGACCTGAACAATTATGCAAGTATGTGGTTTTCAGAACAAACATGTAACACACAGTATCTCACAGAAGTGAGTACACCTCTCATATTTTTGTAAATATTTTATTATATCTTTTCATGTGACAACACTGAAGAAATGACACTTTGCTACAATGTAAAGTAGTGAGTGTACAGCTTGTATAACAGTGTACATTTGCTGTCCCTTCAAAGTAACTCAACACACAGCCATTAATGTCTAAACCGCTGGGAACAAAAGTGAGTATACAAGCTGTACACTCGCTACTTTACATTGTAGCAAAGTGTCATTTCTTCAGTGTTGTCACATGAAAAGATAGAATAAAATATTTAGTAACAATGTGAGGGGTGTACTCACTTCTGTGAGCTACTGTACATATGTTTATCTAAAGCAAAAGTGTGTTTTCTTTAAACCATTTCATTTTTTTGAAGTGCATTTAGCCAACAAAAAGAGTATAGAAGTGCCAGAGATGTTTGTCTTGAAAAGGTTTCCACCCTCTGATGCTCACCTGTACAGCACCCCCACCCGCATCCTTAACCTCAACCTGCACAAAATACCAGGTACATCCAGGTATAGAGGGAGCACTATATCTGAGCAATTAGCACATGATGGAGGGGATGATGTCACCTTTAGGCTGAGACAGAGTTAAAAACAGCAGGGGATTGCTGGACTAGAAATCACTAGAATAAAATCCCTGACCCAGACCTGTTTGCTATATGTTATTTATATATTTATAAATATATAAATTTGCTATACGTTACAAGACACAGTGCATAACCTTGTATGGAGCGGTTTGGTAACATTTTGCCCTCTACTGGAAAAATCCAAGCTGCAGAAAATCCAATACCTTTCCTGACTTTTACATTTTGTTGGGTTATTAGTTTGGGGCAAGTAATGTTTGAAAACCTTACAAACTGTGAAAGAGGAACCTAATCTTCTCAATAGTTGCTTGTTTTGCCACTTACAATTGAGACCTATCTTTCAAACCATTTCCTGAGCCCCCCAAAATGACAAGGAGCACTATAGACTCTTGCTGCTCCTTCTCCCCAGAAACACGTCTTCACTGTATGGCATCCTTCTGCAACCTAGTGATTTCTGGGTTGCTTGTGCTAAAAATCATACCTGGGAAAGGGTGCACTTGATGGGTGGTGGCGGTGCCCAGGTCCGTTCCTCCTTATTACCCAGATAAACTTACACAAGTACATTGCAGTTACTTAAATTGATTGTAAAGCTTTACATTTTCTTTTCATTAAAATAACAAATATGTTATACTTGCCTGCTCTGTGCAATGGTTGTGCACAGAGCAGCCCCAGTCCTCCGCTTCTCTGGTCCCTCACTCCTGCTGAGCGCCCCCATAGGAAGCAGCTCCTGCAGGGGCACTCATGCATGTTGGGTCCTGAGCCAAAGAGTGTCCGTATATTTAGACATTCAGCCCCACCCCCTGCTCTCTACTTACAGGTTTTGACTGACAGTAGCAGGAGGCAATGGATCCTGCTGTTTTCAGCCAAGCCTGTGAGACAGAAAAGGGGAGAAGATCTGCTGTAGAGGTGCACAGCACTGGATTGAAATCCGCTTAGGTGAGTATTTAAAGTGTTATTAAACTCACAACAGTAAAATCAGTCTGTATATGCAGTAAAGCATGCTTTTTATACTCACTGTGGAACCTAAGAGGTTAATCCTGTGCATTGTGTAAAAAGGCTGTTTGAGCCTGACTTCTCTAATGAGACATATATTTTGTGGAGGCAGTCTGCACATGCTCAGTTAGGTGTGTATTGGCAGAGAGGTTTTTTTTTTTTTCTTGGGAGCGTGTATGTGATCAGCCCAGGGTCCAATCAGCACTGTCCAGACAGAGGTAAGGGCTCTGCATCCTCCTAGAGCAGAATGAAAACTCCTTCTACAAGCTTTAACGTGGTCTGCTGGACACTGATAAGTCACAAGACTGCTTTAACTGCTGATGAGAAAAGGTATTTAGCAGTTTATATTTTCTGAAATAGTTGCATTTCCATGTACTGTGGGAGACCAGATATTGTGAATGCAGGGTCCTGGGTTTAGTAACACTTTAAGGGGGGAGCTACTATTAAAAGTTTTTTTTACTTTAATGCAGAGAATGCATTAAGGTTAAAAAAAAAAAAAAAAAAAAAAACCTTACCGTTAGAACCACATTAACTCTGCTTAGAATGGCTTGATTTTGTAGAGACTCCTATTAGTGATTCCTTTGTGCCCCAAGGGCACGTATTGGGTCCTCCTGCCCACATGTAGGAGGCTACTGGAAACCGTTTATTCAGTACATAATGTAATAGGGTCTGCTCTAGCACTGGACTCCAGAGCATGCCTTTTTGGGTTGCTGAACTCTTGCCCTAAGGAGCCATCTCTTCTACTCTTGATTACTCGGAAGTTTCTTGTTGTATAAAACCTGAAACCCCCACCTTGGTGGAATGGAATAGTAATGTCAATGCTAGTATCTTATTGATTTATATGCACAGAGGATGTCCAGCGAAATGTAGTAGAATCTGGAATAGTGAATTGTCATGCAGAAACTCTATCATCTGATCCCTCATAATTGATGGTTATGAGCACTTTAGCACATGACCCCTATATGATTCCTGGGTACCTATTGATGGATACATTTATTCTTATATTCTACTTACCAACATTACTCCTCGTGGCTCGTTGGAAATGTGGTCCTGACCTTCCCCCTGTGGCCCCACTACTGCATATGGTGCTTCTATTGCCTGTATGCCTACTTTGGTTTTTAGAATTGTACTATAGTGTGTCATTTGCTCCTTCTTTTCGCTTTTGTGTTTGTCCATTTGTTTATGGAGCCTTTTGTTACATAGTACAATTGTATTGTGACAAACATAGTTTTAATAAGCATATTGAAAAATAAACAATACTTTCTGAACCAAAACCTTTTTTTTATAAACTATTTATTGTATTTTTCGCTCCATAAGACGCGCCTAGGTTTTAGAGGAGAAAAACAAGAAAAAAAGTTTCTGAACCAATGGACTGCAGACATGGTCCCGGAAATGACCAGAGACTGCGGACACAGTACACAGATGACCAGGGGACTGCGGACACAGTACATGAGATGACCAGAGACTGCGGACACAGTACATGAGATGACCAGAGACTGCGGACACAGTACAGGAGATGACCAGAGACTGCGGACACAGATGACAGAGACTGCGGATGACCAGAGACTGCGGACACAGTACAGGGGATGACCAGAGACTGCGGACACAGTACAGGGGATGACCAGAGACTCCGGACACAGTACAGGGGATGACCAGAGACTGCGGACACAGTACAGGGGATGGCCAGAGACTGCGGACACAGTACAGGGGATGGCCAGAGACTGCGGACACAGTATGACCAGAGACTGCGGACACAGTACAGGAGATGCCAGAGACTGCGGACACAGTACAGGGGATGGCCAGAGACTGCGGACACAGTACAGGGGATGGCCAGAGACTGCGGACACAGTACAGGGGATGGCCAGAGACTGCGGACACAGTACAGGGGATGGCCAGAGACTGCGGACACAGTACAGGGGATGGCCAGAGACTGCGGACACAGTACAGGGGATGGAGACTGCGGACACAGTACAGGGGATGGCCAGAGACTGCGGACACAGTACAGGGGATGGCCAGAGACTGCGGACACAGTACAGGGGATGACCAGAGACTGCGGACACAGTACAGGGGATGACCAGAGACTGCGGACCTTTGGGGAGGGAGGGGGAGCAGGTACCTGAATTTGACAGGTACCCGCTCCCACTTCCACGGAGTTGTTCTCCCTTTAGTGTGGACACCTGGCTGTAACAGCCAGGTGCCCACTGCGCATGCGCGAGAAGCACTGAGCTTTGTGAATGGCCCGGTGTCTTCTGGGACCTGTCATGTGTCCCAGAAGATGCCGGACCATTCACAAAGCGCAGCGCTTCTCACGCATGCCAGTGGGCACCCGGCTGTCACAGCCGGGTGCCCAAACTAAAGATGCCGGCGTGGGAAGACTGTGCAGCGTTGGACCGAGGAACAGGTAAGTTCCTGCTGCAGAGAAAAGCCGAGTGGCCGGCCCGGTATTCTGACACGGTGGCAGCGGAAATACTGGACCAACCACTCCATAAGAGCACACTGACCTTTTCCCCCTTTTTTGGGGGGAAACAAGTGCGTCTTATGGTGTGAAAAAAATACAGTAATTTTCTTGATAGTGCTGGCCAAAGCGTTTGTTTTGGGCAGATGTTGGTAAGTTGAATTATTGGCCAACTTCTATTCAAATTTTATATCTCTGTAACTGTTTCTTTTTTTTTTTTTTTTTTTTTTTTTTTTAATAATCTGTTTTTAGTTTTTTGTTGAGAATAATTTTATTTTTTTTCCCATAAGGTGTTGTAATAATAGATGATCATCCCGAAGTAACAACACTTGAGGATTCTCAGTCTAACCTCAATGATGGTTTCACTGAAGTAGTATCTAAAAAGCAACAAAAGCGACTGCAAGATGAAGAGCGTAGAAAGAAAGAAGAGCAAACTGTACAGGTATGCTGGCGGGTGGGCATGTATAGCTTTCACTCAGGATTTATAGCTGACATACAGAAATGTTAAAAAAAAATGGAGGTTTGGATGGTTAGAACGTCCATCTGTTGTTGTGTGTGTTTTTTTGGTTTTTGTTTTTTTATTCGTAATAACCTTTACATAAGCTCACTCACTGAAATGACAAGCCTCAAGTGATTATCATGAAGAAAATCCTCCCACAAAAGCTGTACCTATTTAGCTGTAGCCTTTTCTTCTCCAAAACCCTTTAAAGTACACAGACCAGATGGAAATTCTATGCCCTGAATTTCTGGAGGTTTTGCCAGTCATCTTCAGCTACTGGTAGATTATGGTCAGATGTGGAAGTTCTGAAAAGCTCTCCAGTGCAAAGTAGCATAGTCTTCAATGCCAGTTTACTGGTGTTCTCTCTGCTACTGTCCTTCAGTCAGCAGTGACTACCCATCAGTGTTCGGAGTTCACAAAAGACTCAGATTTCAGGTTAGACCAGTATGTCTGGGAGTTCCTACGGGAGATTGGTCCGGAGACGTAGTCAAGTCATTGGTCCAGAACTTGGGACACAGTTTTTCTTGTTCCTGTCTCTACAACTCACTTTTGAGAGTACAAAGTATCCTCTGTTTATTACTGCGGACATTTTTTTTTGTTCTGGGCTTGCTTTATACCAGGAGTGTTTAGCCTGCGGACTTTCCTGGGCAGCATTAGACTGCGGAAGAGGAATTGACCACACATGAAAATACGCTAACAAAAAGGATAGTGACCAGAGACTGCAGAAAAAGTCAGGCAGATCACAAGTGCGGACAATCGCTGATATAGATAATGTACTCTGGTAGATATTTTTTATTATACAATGTAAAAGAGGACGACAGAAAACTAGGGAGATATTTGCGGACCCTGTTACGGGATAAATGACCATGCATCAGTATCTGGTTCAGATGGCTGTAGAAGCAATTTTCAGTGATTTCTCAGGGTGCTTGTTCGATATTTTTGTTCTAATTTTGCCCTTCGTGTTGTTCCTGCTTGAAACTAGTTGTCCACAAATACAGGTGCTGCTGTAAAACCGATGACATGAATAAGGCATGATTGTGAAGAATTAGAAGTTTTTATCTTCCCAAAGAATAATATCTCAAAGTCCAGTAAAGAGACACTGTCAGATTTTTCTTTGGTCGCATGTTTGCAAAGTGTATATGCATTTTTACAAAAATTTCCAAAAAAAAATATCAACTTTTTTTTAAGTATGTTTATGATTTTGTGTTGGGCCGTCCCACATGGAAGAAAAATATATGCGGAAATATATTTGAAAAATATTCTTCCCACAATACGGGAGATGACCATATACCGTGTTTTTCGCTCCATAAGACGCACCTACGGGAAACATAAGATGTGCCTAGGTTCTAGAGGAGAAAAACGCGGAAAAAAAATATTCTGAACCAATGGACTGCAGACACAGTACGGGAAATGACCAGAGATTGCAGACACAGTACGGGAGATGACCAGAGATTACGGACACAGTACGGGGAGATGACCAGAGACTGCGGACACAGTACAGGGGGGATGACCAGAGACTACGGACACGGTACCGGAGATGACCCAGAGACTGCGGACACAGTACGGGAGATGACCAGAGACTGCGGACACAGTACGGGAGATGACCAGAGACTACGGACACAGTACGGGAGATGACCAAAGACTGCGGACACGGTACCGGAGATGACCAGAGACTGCGGACACAGTACCGGAGATGACCAGAGACTCCGGACACGGTACGGGAGATGACCAGAGACTGCGGACACAGTACGGGAGATGACTAGAGACTGCGGACACAGTACGGGAGATGACCAGAGACTGCGGACACAGTACGGGAGATGACCAGAGACTGCGGACACAGTACGGGAGATGACCAGAGACTGCGGACACAGTACGGGAGATGACCAGAGACTGCGGACACAGTACGGGAGATGACCAGAGACTGCGGACACAGTACGGGAGATGACTAGAGACTGCGGACACAGTACGGGAGATGACCAGAGACTGCGGACAAAGTACGGGAGATGACCAGAGACTGCGGACACAGTACGGGAGATGACCAGAGACTGCGGACACAGTACGGGAGATGACCAGAGACTGCGGACACAGTACGGGAGATGACCAGAGACTGCGGACACAGTACGGGAGATGACCAGAGACTGCGGACACAGTACGGGAGAGGACCAGAGACTGCGGACACAGTACGGGAGATGACCAGAGACTGCGGACACAGTACGGGAGATGACCAGAGACTGTGGACCTTTGGGGAGGAAGGGGGAAGCGGGTACCTGAATTTGACAGGTACCTGCTCCCAATTCCGCGGAGTTGTCCTCCCTTTAGTGCGGGCATGCAGCTGTGATAGTTGGACAGGTCCCAGAAGACGCCGGGCCATTCACAAAGCGGAGCGCTTCTCGAGCATGCGCAGTGGGCACCCGGCTGTCACAGCCGGGTGCCCAAACTAAAGATGCCGGCGCGGTAAGACTTACAGTGCTGGACCGAGGAACAGGTAAGGTCCTGCTGCAGAGAAGAGCTGAGCGGCCGGCCTGGTATTCTGACACTGTGTCGGCGGCGGAAATACCGGACTGGCCGCTGCATATTCGCTCCATAATACGCACTGACATTTTCCCTCCTTTTTTGGGGGGAAAAAAGTGCGTATTATGGAGCGAAAAATACGGTATTTGAAATACTACAATTTTCAATAAATATATTATTATACAGGATTTATATAGCGCCAACAGTTTGCTCAGCGCTTTACGGTACAACTGAGGGCAATGCAGCAACAATACGGTTCAATACAAGAGGGTTAAGAGAGCCCTGCTCCTTTTTTTTATTTATTTAGATAGAGATTGCATGTTGAAAGGCGTTTTTATTACAAAATATATGAAAAATACATTTCAAATATACTGTATGTCTTTAAGAAATTCAAATCTACATTTTTGGAATGCATTTACAAATATATGTAAAGATATATGTTAAAAAAAATCTGAAGAATATATTTAAAAAATATATATTTTTAATCATCAGACACCGAAGGTATTCTTCACTTGGAGTCAGAGATGAGAATAAAAATAGGACTTTTTACTTACCATCAAATCCTTTTCTTGGAATCCATTGAAGGGCACAAGTTCCTCCTCCTGCCTGCATATCTTTGCATATTTGCAGTACTACTTTGTTACAAAACTGAGGCATGATGGTTGTAAGCAGTGTGTTTTTTTTTTTTTTTTTGGGGGGGGGGGGGGTGGGGGGGGCGGGTTGGCCAATGTCCATTTCTTCTGTAGCAGATGGTATAATTCGAAGGTGCTCCTCAATAGACTCCAAGAAAAAGAGCACAAAAATCCTGTTTTTTCAGTTGGGAGTCTGTTCTTTTTCTAATGTTACTGTGAGTTATTGATCAGATCGATCTGACCTTTTATTTGTAGGTGTGGAACAAAAAAGGTTCTGGTGAAAAAGGAAGAGGCCAGAATTCCAAACTTCCACCTCGATTTGTGAAGAAACAGCAACAACAAGCAGCAGCTTTACAAGCTCAGTCTTCTGGTTTGTCAGCACAAGGATTACCGCAGACGGTACCTGTATCAATGCCATCGGGTCAGCCTCCGTTACCTGTCCAGTCCCAGCCAACCACAAATGGCTCAGACTTTCCCGTATCCATGAAAGCTCCACCTCCTTCACAACCGTCAGCTTCACTAGGAACAGAGTTGTGGGAAAACAAGATGGCTGCTCCAAGTGTTTTAAATGACTTATCTAAGAAATGTGAGTGTCTTCTAGGTGCAAGTCATGTTTTAATATGACCTTTTCCTATTTATTTGATTAAATGGGACTCTGGAGCAATGGTGTTAGAAATCCCCCAAATCTGAGGGGTGTAACAATTGGCCGCATTGGCTAATTTTTAACATTTTGGCCAGCTTGGCTCCTGGTTTCCTCCCAGAAAGGAGATTGAAACAGAAATGTTTAAGGGGCTCTTTCTCCATCTTCCAGACGCCTCAATATATTAGATCTAATATAGACACAACCTTGCAGAGTGACAAAATATTAAAAAAAAAAATTGATTTCAATATTGATGGCTCCTTTTTAAGTATTCGGTTTTATAGTTTAATTTGGGCTTTTAAATACACCAAGCCTGTGCTCTGCTTTCAAAGACTGCTGCAGTACTGTAGAAGTGAACATATTGGACAAAGTATTGAATATCCGTTGATTACTTTTTTTATTCTGCATCTAGTGGGCCCTATTAACTCTCAGCCACAATCATCAAGTGCCTGGAATAAACCTCTCACAGGATTTGTACCAAATGCCAACACTGAGGTAAGCTGTCATTTTCAGTACCACTTAAATTAAAACTATAGGCAAAACTTTGTTTCCATTTTGGATAGAATAGGGAAGTAAGGGAGGATTATAACCCCTGCCAGTATTTTATTTTTTTGCAATATGTGTCCAATTGGGGAGATTTCCCTTCACTTCCTGTCCCATAGCCAGAGCAGGAAGGAATCCCTGGTTGTCACTGGGGTCACCAGAACTAGTCTCCCTTTGGAAAAATTTCTTTTTCTTTCACTTTTGATGAGAACAGTAAACCTAACAAAATAGAGAGGGTGATTCTCCATAATGGGGACACAGACCACAATAGAAAACTGCTAAGTGTTCCAATCCCGTTCCACAATATTTTTGCTGTATGATTTGTCCTATGTTGCTGTATTATTTGAACCAAGCTGAATGTGACTTTTTTTTTTTATCCTTTAGACTACAAAAACAAGCCAAGATGCTGTTGACTTGACAATGGAAGCTATTCAGTTTGGTGCTCCTGCTTCAAGTAGCAGTGATAATGAGGGTACACCTTCCCTCTCTGAGAAGGCATCAGAAAACCTTCCCGAACCTAAAGAGCAGAGGCAGAAGCAGCCCAGAGCAGGACCAATCAAGACCCAGAAGGTAATTTCAGAAGTGCATGATTTGCTCTAGTTAATGTTTTTTCTTCTTTTTGATGATTTTTTTCTTTTTTTTTTTTTTTTCTACACTGTTCTGTACATTAGGAATAGTAAGTATACTATATGAAATGTAAATCCATATTTGTGGTGATGGCATCTCTTTAAAATGAGTGAATGTATTGACTCTCTGTTTTCCCTACTCAATAATGATGCCACGACATGGCAGTGTAATCATTGGCTTCCATACAACAGCTTGCCGCCTGCCCACAGTATATGCACTGATATACCCATACGTTGCCGCCTGCCTCCCAGGTTTCGGGCACACATATACGTACGTCCCCAGCTGAACTGTGCTGTGATTGGACACAGCACAAGTTTGTCAGCAGGTTTCAGCCAATGATTTTGTCTGAAACCTGCTGATCAGCTTTATCTAAGCACAGTACAGAGTTCTGTGTTTACAAACACACAGAACTCTGTGTAAACAGAACAGCTATCCGTCATGGAAAAAAAACAGCCAGATCTGTTAGTAAAAGCAACACACATTACACCTATTGGGCACACATCCCAGTCAGTGTCATTGGTACAGTGTTATATCTAATCACTATTAGTGTCACTAGCAACATCAGTATCAGTGTCCGTTAACGCTATAAGTCGCTGGTCACCGCTATTACAGGCATAGCGTCTACAGCTGTGTAAATTCCAATATGTCTACCATAGGTTGTAGACGCTATAACTTTCACACAAACCAATTAATCACTTATTGGGATTTTTTTTTACTGGATATGTTTTATAACCGAGTAGAAATTTTTTTTTTCGCTAAATTTTTGGTCTTTTTTTTTTTTTCATTTCTAAAATAAAAATAACCCAGTGGTGATCAAATACCACCAAAAAAAGCTAATTGTGTAAAAAAATGATATAAATTTAATTTGGGTACAGTGTTGTGTGACTGAGCAATTGCCAGTAGCACAGTGCTGAATATCAAACAAATGCCTTGGTGGTTAAACAGACACCTGTTTAGATGCTGTTTTTGGCAAGCTGTAAATTGCTTCTTTTGGCTTTGCAGGTTACTGCACCAAAAATACAGCAGGCTTTTTTCCACTGCAGTATGTTAATGTGGAAATGTCCTAATGAAAACAAGGAAATTTCTGAAGCACATGCATTTTGACTGTGGGCTCAATTCACAAAGAGTTAACATAACTCATAACTCAGTTTTTTTCAAATCTTTTTTTTTTTTTTTTTTTTTTTTGCAATTCGCAAAAAAAGCTGCAAAACATCATCATTATTATTATACTGGATTTATATAGTTTCAACAGTTTGATCAGTGCTTTACAATATAAAGAGATACAATACAGCAACAATACAGTTCAATACAAGTGGGTTTGGAGGGCCCTGCTCCTTGGAGCTTACAATCTAAGAGATCAAAATATGTGGTATTTTTCTCAAACTCTCTCAAACCATTTGGTATTTTATCTCATGATGTGATATCCAGTGGAATGGATACAGTGGAGAAGAATTAGAACCCCTGTCAATTATTAATGCTAAGCCAACTCACTAAAATATTACAACTTTTTTCATTGGGGAGATTTCACTTTACTTCTGTACCATAGCCAAAACAGGAAGTGAGAGGAAATCCCTGCATATTAAATTATTCCCTTGGGGACCCCAGGTCACCAGAACCAGTGTTCCCATTGGAAGATTTCCCCTCTATTACTTTTGTAGGAACAACCCAAAATTCTGGATTTTCTTTCACTTTCATTGATAATGGTAAACAGGACAAATAGCGAGGGTTAATCTCCCTAACAGGTACAGACTGCAATAAAAACCTTATCCAAAAATGTAGACACTACTCCAAATTGATGATTTATATTTTTACGTTCCTTAACCACTTCCCCTCCTGAGGATTCACCCCCTCCCTTCCTGGCCAGGCCATTTTTTGTGTAACAGCGCTGTTACTTTAACTGACAATTGGGGAGTCATGCAACGCTGCACCCAAGTGACATTTATGTCCTTTTTTTCCAACAAATAGAGATTTCGGCGGTATTTGATCGCCTGTGTATGTTTTTATTTTTTGTGTTATAAACACAATGCTATGCAGAGCCATACACAGCAGTGTGCAGGAGCTGACGGGACAGATCTGTGTTTATACATGGGTCTCTCCCCTTTCGGAGATACTTGGCAATCACCGGGGTGCCGGCGAGAAATCACCGGCCGAGACCTGGTGATTGACAGCTGAGGCCGCGATAGGCGGCGCAGGTAGGGCGTTCCCCCCACTCTGAACTGCAAAATCACGTGTGTGTATATATACGTGATTTTGCGCACCCATGCCGCCCTGTAGCAGTATTTCTGCTATAGGGCGACACGGAATTGGTTAAATACCTCATGCCTGGACCATTACTTATTTAATTCATGCATTCATTTATTTCCTTTAGGGAATTGAATATAACAATGTTTTATGAGTTATTTACCTTGTGTTTTTGGTTTGTGAGGTAAATATGGTAAAGGTGAGAGTGAATTGACATTTTCAGCATCTCATGAGATAATTAGAAAAAAAATGTTACGTGGTTCAATTATCTCATGAGAGATTCTTTAGTGATTATAGTCCTGTGTTACAAAAGATGGTAAAGCTCACCTGTTATTACTTCCTTAAGGAGTTGATCGTGTACCTTTCAAAATGATTCCTTCATTTGAAGTGTGTTGGCTATAGTTAATGCATGTCCACTTTAGGTCTGTTTTGAAAATCCCCAAACACTTGAGATCACAAATTTGTACACACCAATATTTCTGTGGCATGTAGAAACTTTACAAAACGTAATTATTTTTCTTTATCATAAATTCCTGAACACATGTATCTTCATCTCCTTAGAGTTACACTGCCACCTTTTGGTGATTGGACACAGGCAAAAAAAGACAGGAAATTTCTTCCTAGACTTACGTTTTTCCTAGGCTTCAGTTGTTTTGCTGTGTTTTCAGCGATGGTCATGTCTGTGTGATCTCTTCATGAAAACCTAGCTAGTTGCCTCAACAGTTTCCTCTTTGAGATTAGGAGACTAGCTTTTTTCAGATCCATGTCCTCCCCTATAGCCATACCCGCACTCCATGAATCCTCCGTTTTTGGGCTAGTGTCTGAAGGTGAAGGACTTCTCCATCATGGTAAAATCAACACCTCTTTGTCTTCTTCTGTGTAGACATTAGCAGTATATACAAACCAGTGCAACTTTGGTAAAACTTTGAAAGCCATACCTGGACTCCACTCTGTGGGGTCGGCCTGTAATGTTTGCTTTCGACGCGAGATCCTTCATGTGCGCTCACCTTAGCACATGACACAGTTCGTTAAGTCAGCTGTCATGGTGCTATACAGGGCCAGGGCTTTTAATATGGGACTGGCCTTGAGTACTATTGGGGGATATTGGCTTTAGCCGTCCTTTTTCAGAGACTGATTGCTTCACATTCTTTGGTACGTTTCTTTGTGCAAAGGGTACTCAGCATGTCCGTTCTGGTGGTGGATCAGTGATAGTCTAGGGAGGCATATCCAATGAGGGATGCACAGACCTCTACAGGCTAGACAATGGCACCCTGACTGCCATTAGGTATCGGGATAAAATCCTTGGACTCTTTGTCAAACCCTACGCAGTGGGTCCTGGGTTCCTCCTGATGTATACAATGCCTGGCCTCATGTGGCGAGAGTATGCAGGCAGTTCCTGAAGGATGAAGGAATTGATATGGCCATTGAATGGCCCCCACGCTAAATCCAATGGCCCTAAATGGCCCTGACCTAAATCCAATAGAACACCTCTGGGATATCATGTTTCGGTCCATCCAATACTGCTAGGTGGCACTTCAGACTGTTCAGGAGCTCTGTGATGCCCTGGTCCAGATCTGAGAGGAAATACCCCAGGACACCATCCGTCGTCTCATTAGGAGCATGGCCTGACATTGTCAGGCATGCATACAAGCACGTGGGGGCCATACAAACTACTGAGTACCATTTTGAATTGCTGCAATGAAATTTCAGCAAAATGGACTAGCCTCCTGCATCATTTTTTCACTTTGATTTTCAGGGTGTCTTTAAATTCAGTCCTCTGTAGGTTGACAATTTTCATTTCCATCAAACGATGGGTTATCCTTAAATTCCTAACACATTACCCAGTCCATATCAGTATATATATCCAGCATGATGGTTTTTCCCCATTGAGATCTGATGTGTTTTCAAAGTGTTCCTTTAATTTTTTTTGAGCAGTGTAATTGCCTCAGCCATGCTTTGTTCCATCTCTACCAAGATAGTGTTTTCCTTTTTTTTTTTTTTTTTTTTTTTTGTCCGAAGCCTCAGACGCCAAGGGACAAGGCTGTTTACACCTTGGAATGTGGTTCATGTTATCCGGTGTTACCTGAAGTCAACTTCTACAATTCATCAGTCATATTTCCTCTTTGTGATTCGTGGAGACCCATGGAAGGGTCACGCACATTCCAAATCTATCATTTCTCCATAGTTCGGTCAGCTTATTTCTCAAGTTTATAGCCTGTATTGGAAAGTTCCATTTTTCAGTGATGACCTATTCTACAAGGAGTGTCATTGCCTCTTGGGCTAAACATTATTAGGCTTAACTTTGTAAAGCTACTACCTGGTCTTTGGGTCACACTTTAGCAAAGTTTTACCACATGGATGTTGGAGCCGCTGCGGATGCCACCTTTGGTCTGTGAATTTTGTAGGCTACTGTTTGAAGTTCTGACTTGTTCTGTTTTAGTTATTTGAGGCCTGTTGGCTTGTTGCAGTGTTGTCCTCTCTTCATATTCATTGATTTAGGACTTCGCTTCCATAATAGAGATGAAGATGCCCTATGTCCTGGGATGTACAATAAAGAAAATGGGATTTTTGATTTTCCTGTAAAACCTTTTTCTTGAAGTACAACACAGGACACAGGGATCCCACTCCTCTGCCTGTTTATAGCTTGCTACAAAAAATAAAGCCTTGTCTAACAGTGAGGTGTTATGCCTAAGAGGGAAATTCCTATCTTTTTTGCCAGTGTGGGTGGCAACATAGCCCAGCTTAATAAGGATTGAAGATACTGCGTCCTGTGAAGTATACCAAAAGGGTTTTGCAGGTAAACCAAAAATTCAATTTTTCAAAGTATTGATGTTGATAGCTTGGTTTATTTTTTAAACTTATTTATTTGGTTATTTTAAGCAGTCAGAAATGCTTGTTTTATTTGTTTTACTTTTTTGTTTTATTTGTTTTGCTAATAATGCATCATGATAAGTAACACTTTATTATCTTTACAGATCCAGGATCTCAGTGTTATACAGAGTAAAGAGTACAAGCCAGGGCCAATTGGTAAGGAAAGATCACTTAAAAATCGTAAAGTTAAAGAGGTGCAGCAACAGTCTGAGCCTGAGTCCCAAGAGAAACAGATGCCAGCCACAGTTCGAACACCAGAACCTGTTCCAACAAAGGAAAGTAAGGTCATACCAGAAGTAACCCCTGAAATCACCAGCATTCTTTCTGTGTCTGCACCAGAATTTGGAGCCAGCACCAAGGTAATGATAGATTTGTGTTTTTCTCTGTAAATGAAGTAGTACAAAGCATTGAGAGTTTTGGGCATTCTCCCCATGTTCTGCACACCAGTGGAAGGAATTGCATCATTGATTGTTGGGAGGAAAATCATTGGTGTTGCAGAAATCATTGGTGTCAGTGGAGCATTACACCATCTTTCAGAATTATCATGGGGGAATACTGCAGCTTGACAGTGTTTGCCCCAAGCCAGGTATAGTGTCTTGGTGCTACTTCATCATTGGTGATGAAGATAGGAATCCATGGCTAACTGTATTTCCTGCTAATTAGCATGAGTCAGTGGGAGGAATAGCATTGGTCAGTTGACACCAATGCACTATTCCTCCCACTGAGAGTGCTCATGGTGCTGCTGCAGCCAGCATATGTGGTGCAGCAGCAACTACAAAACACTGCTGCAGTGCTCCCGGCAACATGGACAAGGCTGGAGCAGTTTCATGAACCAGCAAAATCCATGGTGCTTTATACGCGCTTAATTTATAGAATTAGAACTAAACATGTGTTTAAAAAAAAAAAAATACTTATACGCCGGCAAATACGGTTTTTGTAGTTTTCATTTTCTAAAGGTTAAATTATTTATTTAAATATTTCATTATATATACTGCACTTGACAGTGTTTGAAGCCAATTCCTTGGTGCTCTTCATCTGATGAAGATAGAATCCATTGGCTAACCGTGCTATTAGCATGAGTAGGGTAGCAGTTGAAGGAGATAACGTCAAAACCCGCTGAGTCGCTTTTTAATACAATATTAGAACTGATGACACAAAGACCTCCCCCGCTGATGAAGGAATCGTCCCCGCTGAGTCATTGTATTCTGATGCACAGATCTGTCAGGATGCACAGATCTTAGCTTTTTTTTTTTTTTTTTTTTTAAATATGAATGCACTTTTAATGAGCAGAGCTATAAATCAACTTAATTTTTCTTTTAGCCTTTTAATACTTTTTCAGGCTTGATGTTGAATGTACGTGGAGTTCTATTACAGTGCATGTTTAGGCAAAACATTTTTTTGCTTTGTATGAAGTGGAGCAGGATTAAAACTGTCAGGTTTTTTTTTTCTGTGTCCCAGCGGGATAGATTCACCCTTTCTTTTTTGTCATGGTGACCATTGTTGCGAAGACAGAAAGTGAGAGGAAATTCAAAATGTAACAAGTGTCACCGGAACAAAAGTTGAGAGTAAATTTTCCAGTGGCGGTACAAAGAATTTATCTCTGTTTTAAAAATAGCTTTTGAAGGAATACCTATACTTCAGTCCTTGTAACGCTAGATCAAAATGAATAAGAAAGGAGGCGAAATTGTGAAGGAAATGTGGAATGATGTGCTGGTGAATACTCCATAAGGATTTTATTAAATGTATCACAAAGCTTGTGACATCTGCATATTGTGATGGATTATATTACACACCAAAACGGCTATATGATGTTCAAAAACGATTTGGCCTTATGTGTCCACGATGCAAGAGAGAATTCTATGGTCACCACACTGAACAGGGTGCTCCAAATTGATGTCCCGAAGATCCTCTATCATTTAGGTTGCACTAAACATCTCTCAGACCCGTGTGTAGCGTTGTTAAGAGCTTTGTTCAAGTCTTTAAATTCTAATTCTGTGGAAATTCCCCGATTTCCCCCCCAGTCACTCTTACTGAGTGGAGATACCAACTTAATAGTACACTTTGCATGAAAACGTGTATCAATGCCCACCAGGATACAACTGGAAAATTCACTCAGATTTGGGGCATGTGGCTTGCAATCCGAGATATGTCTGCCCCAAATGTTAAACATCCCACTGAGCTAGCAAATGCATCAGAAGGTGTTTAATCAACAAGCTTTGTTCATTAGGGACTGCTGTGAATGTACAATGCATATGTAAAACGCTACGTAAATTGATGGCACTAGATAAGTACCTGTAATAAAATGTAGCCTGTGCTACTTATGAACGAATGTCCTAATAATTGTTCCAGATGTCCCAACAAATGTTAACTTCAGTGGGGGGGGAATCTTCCAGTGGGGATATCTGTTCCCATGATCTTGATTGTCTAAAAGGGGAATTCACGTCACTTCCTAAAGATTTCATATCACTTTTATGTTGTATTTTCTAGACAGGAAGTGAAGAGAATGTTCTCCAACTGGACAAGTTTTAATCCTTCCCAGCTCTATCCAAACTAAAATGGAACTTTGGATGTAGTGAAGACAGTAGTTTAGATTTCATTTTGGAGATGTAAAATAGATAATGCTGTACAACGTTTTAGCAGTCAACTGTAGAAAGAGAATTTGAGAGAAGATTGCCATTGCTCACTTCTTCTGAAAATGGCAGTTGGCCAGCTTTCATGCTTTTTACAGTCAGTCAAAATACTGATCAAAAAACTGATCTGAAATAAGCATGTAGCTTAGGACTTCTTACTTTCCTGCAAACTTCTAGGTCAGTGAGTCAAAGTATTGAAATGAGCAAAGAATCTAGGCATCTATGCATTTTCAGGAAGCCAGCAATGACAGCCTGCTCATTTCCGTCTTTTTAGGTTTACTTGAATTTGTTTTAAATTTGTGACCGATGTACTTTAACTAAATGTTAAGTTTTTTTTTTTTTTTTACTTCTAACAATTTTAGGAGAGTGTAACAGATTACACCAGCCCATCCAATGCCCTTCCGAATACAGCATCTACTGGAAGCTCTAAGCTGGAATCTTCATTGGTGCCTAATGTAAGTTCTATTTGTTCCTCAGTACCTTGTCTCGTGATCATTTGTCTCTTAATAGTTTTGATACACACACATTTATTTCACTTTTTCATTAAAGTGTGTACCTTTACAGAAAATCTGTAAGGTGACCTAACACTGGGCTTCCTTTCCCATCGCCCCTGGTCGTCCTGTACTGGAGTCCCGCGGCCATGTGCTGTCAGACACCAGCATGCTGCTTCACCGGTCCAGGGATTTGAAATCCTAGCAGATTTCTCTTTTCTCCTTGCAGTGCTGTCAGGACAGGCTTGGCAAATTCTGATTGGTTAGCACCGTCCATGTGCTGGTGTTGACCAATTAGAATTCCTTCTGGTCCGTACTGGCTAAGCAGTATGGAGAGGAAATTAAGTAGATCTGAAATCCCTGGACCAGTGAAGCAGCATGCTGGTGTCTGACAGCTGAGCATCACAGGACTCCAGTACAGCAGGACCAGGGGTGATGGGGAAGGGGGTCCAGTGTTAAGTCCCCTTAAAGATTTTCTGTAAAGGTGAACTTACACTTCAAGGTTTTTTTTTTTTTGCTTTGTTTTTATTTTCTTTTTTCATTTTTGTTGTGTGGTTTTTTTTTTTGGTTTTTTTTTTGTTTGTTTTTTTAGGCAACAGTTCTGTCATTTCTGCCACAGCTGTGCAAAATGTGAGTTGTAAATGTTTATTGTTTTTCAGGTACCTCTTCCTCATACTCTTCCTCTATCTCGGAGGGAGACCCTTCAGCAGAGCTCAAGCCTAACACCTGTATCTCCTGCTACTGTTGACCTCACACTAAAGGTATATTTATATATAGAACTAAGTTGCAGTAAGATATAAGGTAATGTTTTAATATTTTTTTGGCGTGCATCCTACTGGTTTAAAAAAAAAATAATCTTGATGCTCAACTGCTCGACGAAACAAGTTTTCCTTTTTTCTTGACAGTTGTTATAAAAGCTAAATTGATCAGTGTATGTTTTATAAGATGGATGTATTTTGTGTTTTTTTTTCCTGTTTGTTTTTTCTACATTAAAAATTATTTTGGATCTTTTCATGGAATAAAAAACTAACTCCCCCAATACCCCCTTCCTAACTATCCTGCATACCCTTTAGAAAAAAGATCTTTCTACTTACCTACTTTTAATCCAGTTTGGTCACATGTTCCAGCAGTTCCACTCCTCTGTGTCAGTGACTTCTGCAGGTGAGTGGAGGGAGCACCAGCAATGGCTAGGCCATGGGAGCCTATGTGTAATGTCACAGCTCTGGAAATCCACAGCCCTTGTTGAGCGCTTCCTGATACAGGGAGGGAATGTTTTTAACCACTTGCTAACCACGCTACAGCCGAATAACGGCTACAGCGTGGTTACCTAGTTCTCGGAGGGCATCATATGACGCCTTCCCGTGCTCTCCCTCAGGGGCACGCACCCGGCGATCTCAATCATCAAACATTCAATCATCATAATTAAACATTGGATCAAAATAGATTACAAAAACATTTTATGATAATGTGACATCTGGAAATTCCCAAATTTCTCCAGAACACGTCTGTTTAAACATAATTATTGGAATACATCTTCTATTGACAAACTAGCACATTTCTCAGGAATATAAGTCTTAAGTTCATTTATAGTTGAAACCCCCTAATGCCACATACAGAGCATTGTCAGGTCATCTTTTTAATGCAAAGATATATACTTTAGTATAGTTTAGATATATACTTATTATAGATGTTTAATACAAAAATACAACGCTGTCTCCATTATATGTCATTATACTTATTATATAGCCTCTTAAACACACAGAAGAAATCCTGAACAAGTACCATGCAGTAATAATATTGTAAAATAATATCTTTAAGATGACATCTTTATTCAACTTGTCACTACGGACACAGCTGATCACTTGATGAGGTAAAAGGCCAATCTTAGCAGCCTTTTACCTTGTGATCAGCTGTGTCCAATGACACAGCAGATCACGGAGTAAATACAGTTGCCGCTTATCGACAGCACTTTCTTCATGCTGTCACAGCGTGACGAAAATACTGCCGATAACCGGTAACTGTCACAGAGGAGATCGGCACTGATGACTAATGCCCTGCAGTGCTGCCCAGCAGTCCCGCCCATCAGTACCATCAGTCAGTGCTGCCATTCAGGGCTGTCAGTCAGCGCCGCCTATCAGTGACCATCATTGCTGCATATCAGTGCAGCCTATCTGCCACCTCATCAGTGCTTATCAGTGGAGCCTCATCAACGCACATCAGGAGAAAAATTAGCTGTGTGAAATATTTTATAATTGAAACACAAACTTTTTTTTTTTTTTTTTTCTTCAAATTTTTTGCTGTTTTTGTTTATAGTGTAAAAAATAAAAAACCCAGTGGCAATTAAATACCACCAAAAGAAAGCTCTGTGTGTGAAAAAAATAACAATTTCGTATTGGGTACAGTGTTGCATGACTGTGCAATTGTCATTCAAAATGCGACAACGCTGAAAGCTGAAAATTGGCCTAGGAACGAAGGGGATATAAGTGCCTGGGTAGGCAAGTGGTTAAGAATAGTTAGATTTAATCTTTATTACCACTTTAACTGTAACCATTTAGAACATGCCACAGAATGCATCTGGATGAGCATTTCTTTTGAAAATGTTGTCTGGATTTTAATTTTTTACCTTTCACTGTCTTAAAGTATTGTTTAGGCTGGGTTCATGTTGCATTTGTGCTGTTTCTGCATTGCGTTTTTGCCGCGTTTTTGATTTTTTTTTTTTTTTTTCTTGTTGCTAGGTAAAACCATAATACATGCTTTTCTGCACTGTTTCCATTGAAGTCTATAGAACCAAAAACGCAACTTTTTTGCATTTAAAAAAAGTCCCTGACCCTTTACAAAATAATGCACTGGGTGAAAACGCACAGATGTGAACATGTTACATAGGAAATGATGTTAAATGGACTGTACTGCGTTTCTGCAAAACACTGCAGAAAACGCTTAGGCATGAACTTGTGGTTAAGCATTTATCTCCTACCAGCCATCTGGATTCAGAGTGGTAACAGAGACCCTGGTCCTATGGTGAAGGATTTAGGGAAAGATGCGCCTCCCATTTACTTGCTCTGTAAATGTAGATTTGCTGTGGATGGGAGATGTGGGCTTATCAGTGGCTAAACTGTATTCACACAGAAGACCTTCTGCATACAGTGGCCTTAGACATTCCCCTGCTACCCTCTATGGACTGCTGATGATGAGAGAAACTATACATGATTTAACAAAGCCTTGGCATTTATATGTAATGTCTACATTTCCTGATATAATTGAGCACCAGAAATTCAGAAAAATACATTTATTGGTTGCGGTGGGGGGGGGTGCAGCATATGAGTTTTAATACTGAGCAGGGTGAAATTATTTGTAGCTACCTTACCAGTCCATGGTTGTTTAAAAATTGCTGTTGTGGTTGCTTGACATGTAGCAAGGCAGTAAGGATTGTTAAATTGTAATTTCCCCAGATGGAGTCCGCTCGCAAAGCATGGGAGAACTCTCCAAGTGTTGCAGAGAAAGGATCCCCAATCACTTCTGCTGCACCTCCCGCTAGTACATCGGCAGTGGGAGCCCCCACTAATGGCAGCAATGGAGTTGGGGGAGTGTCTACAAATGGTGGCAGTTCTGGTCCCCCTCCTTCAAGCGGTGTACCTTACAATTCCTTTTCCAGTTCCTCTATGCCTCCCATCCCTGTAGCTTCAGTAACACCAACAACATCTTTGTCAGGTAGGTCATTTTTCAGTTTTGTTTTTTTTTATTTTTTGTTTTTTAATACTTTTAACCTTAATCCTGTAACATTTCTCTAACCGAGATTCTGTTTTTACTTTTCTCTGTAGGAGCTGGAACATATACCACCTCCTCACTTAGCACAAAAACGACCACAACATCTGACCCTCCAAATATCTGCAAGGTGAAGCCGCAGCAACTTCAAAGCAGCAACAGCATGCCCTCTGCTAGTCACTTTTCTCAGCTCAGCTGTATGCCGTCACTCATGGCTCAGCAGCAGAGTCAGCAAGTGTATGTCTCTCAGTCTGCAGCTGGTATGTTCAATTTATTGAAATAATTCATCCTAGTATGTAAATGAGAAAGAGATTGATTTGAAAGGCAATGATGCATTAATATAACGTTTGAATAATACAGGTGTTATTTTAGGACTAGACAGATCCCAGGAGCCTGGAAAGTAGTGCAAACGCCAAATAACGTGGCTTGCTCGCAACTTTATACTTTTTTATGTCATTAGAAGCACATTCCATGACTGTCTAAAGCTCACTACAGACAAAATCTATATACTGAACGGGCTTGCCTGATGAGGTACAGATAGTTTTTGTAGATTCTCATACGGTTTTGGTAATTCTGAAGTTGATGGTACAGTCAGATTGTAACATGTATGGTGAGCTTTAGACAGCCTAATGGCTCCTTGACTTCTCTGCCTTTCTTCTGATCTCTAATTAGGTTTTTACTCCTGCTTTACTCTTCAAGCTAAGTTTATATTAAATGCCACATTTCATATTTTATATATAGTATTAGGAAAAGGTGTTCTTTTAGCCCTGGTTCACACTGATGAGGTGCGGAATTCGCAGCGAATTCCACACCGCATCAGAATCACACCCCGTTCATGCGAACCACTGCGGGGGAACACCCTGAAAGCGGTCCGCAAAGCGCGGTGTGATGTGCAGAATCGGATTGCATAGGTGTGAATACCCATGTGATTCGATTCTAGTGCGTACACAAAAAAGGGTCCTGCACCTTTTTGGTGCGGGTGCAGTGCGATTAGAGCCATACAAAACTGTGTGGCTCCAATCGCTCCGCACACGAATCGCATGTGATTTGCACAGGAATGCATTGCGGTTCCTGGAGTGAATGACATGCGATATACCGCACTGCATATTTGTGAACCCAGACTTAAAGTTAATTTCCCCCGTTAAGGAAGAGAGGGGTTTACATATCTTGTTTATTATATGGATGAACTAAAAACTGTGTTTGGTCTCAGCTTTTATCTTAAATCGCCCCTTTCAGTCTCAGTTTTCCCGTTACTTAGTATAACCAAGCAACCTTGAGACAGCCTTACTGGCATACATACCTCTTTCCTGCACATTTTTTTACCATATCCTCAAGCAGCCAGTGAGCTCACCCACAGATAATAGAAAAGCAGGTGGGCGAGAGGAAGGCAGAATCCAAAAGAAATTTTAAGAATTAGGGCACTAAGTGGATGAAAAGCAAAGTCCAGAATAGACCCAGAACAAATCGAGGGGAAACACTAAAGTCCCAAAAACTGCCACTACATCAGCTAAATGATCCCAGCTTTACAGTGCCAGACAGACATTTTCTTAGGTTGTGCATTGTACAATATGAATTATTTCTTTGTTAAATGGGAATGTCAGATTTTCCTCTAAAACATATTTTTTTTCTGTGGAGAAGGACCAGCAGCACAGATTCCTGCATTCTATATGGACACAAGTCACCTATTTAATACACAGCATGCACGCTTGGCTCCTCCAACTTTGACACAGCAGCAGGGATTCCAGCCAGGGCTCTCACAGGTGAGCATGACAATATTGACTTTCCTCCTAGTGTTTGTGAATTGTTTCTTTATTAGCCACATGACTTTGCAGCTCTGCAATTGAAATGTTCTATTTTACCTGTCTAGAGGTTGTATGTTCTTTTGTTTCATGGAGTTCCTTTTCTTTTTAAAGCAGAACTACACTGTATCTGATCACCACAAACCAAAAAAGATTTAATTCATTTTTAATATTTAAAGCAAAATCACAAATCTATTCACGTCTCCATTCTTTATTTTGCTGAGAAAACACGTTGATAAAAAAAAAAAAACACCCCTAGCTTTTCTGGCCATGACCATAAGGGCAAATAATTTATGTAGCATTTACTTCCTAGAATCCATCTGCCCGTAGCTCTGGCATGCAGACAGATGTTCTCCACTGAGAAAAACCTGTGTTTCCTGTGACACAATACGGCATACACTGCATAGGAATGCCATGCATGGGTGTTGATAACAAAGGAAGCCTCTCCTAAAGCCCATGCACAAAAAAACCTGCCTAGAATTTGCCAGGGCCTATACTGAAAAAGACTACTGGGAATCTGTAGTGAGGAGACCAAGATAAATGTTTTTGGAACTGATGGCTCCAAAACTGTATGGCGTTACAAAGGTGAGGAGTACAAAGAAAAATGAATGGTGCCTACAGTGAAACATGGTGATGGCGGTGCCCTTCTGTGGGGCTCCATGACTGCTGCTGGTGTCGGGGAGCTGCAATTCATTGATGGAATCATGAATTAACAGATGTACTGCTCTATATTGAAAAAGAAGATGCTACAATCACTCCGTGCCCTTGGTCATCGTGCACTTTTCAAACATGATGATCCAAAACACACGTTAGGCCACTGTTGCGTTTCTGAAGAACAGGGTGAAAGTGATTCAATGACAATGCATGTCTCCTGATCTGAACTCAGTCGAACACCTATTGGGAATTCCGAAGAGACAAGTTAAGCATCACTTTCCGTCCAGCATCCTGGCTTTAACAGTAGTTGTTCTTGAAGAATGAAAAAAGATCGATGTTGCAATATGTCGCCAACTTGTTCATTCCATGCCTAGAAGACTTGGTGCTGTCCTTACAAATCATGGAGGTCATACAAAATATTAGATGTTGTAGTTTTCGTTGTGGGATGTATTCATTTTTGCTTCAGCTAATTTGAGTAAAACTGAAGATTTTGTCTTCTAAGTTATATTATTAACCTGACTTTCATGTAATGAGCTAAACAAATATTCTAAAAAACTCAGTTTTGTCAAAATTTTGGAAATTGCTCTCGTGTTGAGATATTGATTAAAATCTTACTTTTCAAAAGGGGTGTACTCATTTATGCTGAGCAGAGTGTAGAATAGAGAATATTATTTAAACTTTGGTTATTGATATTTACTGTTTGTTCTTCTAGATTCCTATTCCTATATATGCTCCTCTACAAGGACAGCATCAAGCACAGCTTGGTCTAGCTCCTGCTCCTGCTGTTTCTCAAGCTCAAGAATTGTTTACTCCTTCTCTGCAGCCTTACAGGTAGGACAAAATATTTGTATTCGATAATGCAATCATCCACAATTTTACAAAGCATCTCATGGAAATTATATGATTCAACCTTCGTAGGTATTTGACCTATGTTGGCAAACAGATCAGCCTGCGTAATACTGCATTAACTAGCAGGTTGGATTGAAATGCAGCTAGTCTTGCAATCCAGTCCAATGACATTTTATTCACAGCTATTGATGGCTTATGTAATGGAAATAACTAATTTGTTTTTAGTTGTTGCTACAATAGTAAGTAAGAGAAATCTTCTTCTAATGGAAACATCTGGTGACAATTTTGTCAGAAGGGATTTCCAACTACTTCCTGTTGTCTTTGTATCAGGAAGTCAAGCTCCTCAATGGAACACAGATGGCAAAAATGAAAATTGATAAGAGGATTTGACTATTTCCTGCTCTATCCAAAAAAGAAAAAACATTTTTGCTGGAGATGCATTTTAATTACTTAGTGAGTCATTGACCTGTAATAAATATGCAGCCAGTAAAGCCAGGTATAAGAAGTGGCAAATTAGAACTTGATCCCAGCATGCTTGCATCATAACAGGTGTTCTCATTTAGTTTAAATAGACTGCAAATATCATTCCATCATTTGAATTCTCACTTTCAGTCCTAACATAGTTTGTGTCTTTTACAGGTCTCAGCAAGCATTTCTACAGAGCAATTTGTCTCAGCCTTCTCCAGTCGTCTTGTCTGGTGCTTTGCATAACTTTCCAGGAGGTACAACACCAGGATCTGGCTAAAGCACAAACTAGCCTAGCATATCAACAGACTACCAATACACAACCTATTCCTATTTTATACGATCATCAGCTTGGCCAGTCTGGTTTGGGAGGATCTCAACTGATTGATACACACATCCTACAGGTAGGGATGTTGAAATTACCTGACAATATACTGTAAGTATTCGTAAGTACCAAACATGCCTGGCATACGTTATTTTAAATACATTTCTCAATCTAAATTGTCCTCAGACTCGTCAAGGATTAGGTCAGCCTTCGAATCTTTATTCTGGGCAACAGCCAAGCCAGACAAGCTTCTACAACACTGCCCAGTCTCCTACTGCACTTCAGCAGGTGAGCACAACCAGGGTACTAATTGCCTGGATGTTGATGGCTATGTGGGCCTCCATCCCAACATGATTGCTTTTATTTTCTAACTTCAGAGATAGGGACGTGTTTTCGTCAGGAATTTGTCTGGAATATAGTCACACTGTGTGTCACCTGCATTTCCTTAGCATTGGTATTTTAGGTGAACTTGTGCTTCTGTATGTGCAAAGCGCAACTCTAAATAGATTCTTTAATTGGTTGCTTTCTATTTTTGCTGTGGTCTTAACAAATTAGAATTAGCTTTACTATGCATAGTAGCAATGTCTGCCTTGCTAGTAGCTCCAGTTATTCTTATGACAGCAGTTTTCCAATTTCATGAAGGGCTGCTTTGGGAGCAAGAGAAAATCCATCAGGATTATAAAAAAAACTTTCCCCACGCCTCTCTCCCCCCTTTGCAGAACTATCAGTTTTGGGTGAAGTTGCAATAGATCAGTGGTCTCCAAACTGCAGCCCTGTGCTTGCTTCTGTCTGGCCCTTGGGATGCTATTTCATCCACTAATACCAACGATGGGGCATAATTCCGCCCCCACTGATACCAATGAAAAGACACAATTTCTCTCAATGATACCAACAATGGAGCACAATTCCTGTTAAGGACACCAGCAATTGGGCCAGATGACACAATGATTGGGCACAATTCCTTCCAATGACACCATCGTTGGGGCGCAATTCCTTCCAATGACAACATTGTTGGGGCACAATTCCTTCCAGTGACACCAATGATGGAGCACAATTCCCTGCAACGACACCAGTTAAGGGGCACAATTACACCAAAGATGGGGCACAATTCCTCTCACTGACACCAAAGATGGGGCATTGTTTTTCCTACTGTAATCAGGACTTTTTCTGCTCCCAATTGCCTAACTCCGGTCCCCATAAAGTGTGAAGGACCGTAAACTGGCCCTCTAGAAAGTTTTGGGCCCCCTGCGGTAGATGGTTTTCATACAAAGAACATGCACATACGTTTAAACCACCTTTCCTTTATTTTCCCTCTCCAGACATAAAATGATCCACAAGACTGTTGTGTTTTTTTAAAAGACTTGCTCTTAAAATGGAAGCGTTCAGCAATGATAACCTATTTTGGCATATTGTTGCTTGCTTTTCAGCCTAACTATTGTGTTTACTTACCTTGTGCTTATCTCTTACTGTTTTTAAATTCAAATAAAAAGAAATCTGGTTATCCGTAAATACATCCTAACCAGGCCAACAATTAAACACACTTTAATATCATTTGTAGTTGATTAGCTCATTCAGACACAAATTCTAAATCTGGCTGAAGATTGCCATTGTGGAATGTGTGATATATTATTATCACTCTCTTGCTGTTAAAATAACAATTGTTATTATTAATTGCAAAGATACCAGTGTTTTTCAGTCCTGTTCTGTTGGGGGTACACGGGGACTTACAAGGCACAGCGTTTGAAAAGCACTAACTACTCTCCTTTATCCTTTCACTGTACTAAATTCAGAATTTGTGCTGTAATTTTGAGCTCTTTATTTGTCACAGTTTTTTGTAAGCTTTCACTTTAATTTTGGTATTGGTACTAGTGAGATTATTTTGACCTTGTACTTCCAGATGACGGTACCATTGCAAGGATCACAGCTGTCCTTGCCCAACTTTGGTTCAACTGGGGGGCAGCCCCTAATTGCTTTATCTCAAACCCTGCCACCTGCACCTCAAGCGCAACACCAGAATCTCTCTAGGGCAGGCCAAGTGAGCCAGGCTTACCGAGGCCTAATCCCTTCTGGCAATCAGCATGGAATGATGGCTGCCCCTGGCAAGGTGAGGACTGCAATTATACTGTTTTTATTTTTGCTGAACTTTCACAGCAGTTATGAAATATTCAATAGGGTTATTGTTAAGAGCCAAAAAAAAACACTACATTAAAATACTATAAAATAGCTATCACCTTCTTAAAATAGGGGGACTTGACGGATCGCCTAAATGTCAACCAAAAATGAAAGGAATTATTTATTTTGAGGAGATATGCAAATCCTTCCTTTATGTCCCTGTGGACATCTCATATTTTAGGGTATTTAGTCTTTTATCTTGCATTTATGTATTGGGTTTGAGCTGGTTTGTGGTTATCAGTGCAAGATTAGGGAAACATGACTCATATGGAGAGCCAGGGGATGGAACCCCAAAAAGGTTGGGCTGTGCCAAAAAAAAAACCACACGACCCAAATGATTGGAATGATTTTTATACAGGATGTATATAACGCCAATAGTTTGCGCAGCACTTTACAAACTAAAGGGAGACAGTACAGTTATAATGCAATAAAATACAACAGGGTCAAGAGGGCCCAGCTTACAATCTAGTAGAGTGGGCAACTAGTACAAAAGGTTGTAACTGTGGAGGATGAGCTTCTGGCTTCCAGAGTAGAAGATAGCCAAACAGATTGAGGTAGAGAGTTCCAGACAATGATAGAGGCTCTGGAGAAGACCTAAAGATGAGCATGAGAGGAGGGGACGAGAGCAGGAGGCCTTGGGAGGAGTGCAGAGGGTGATATTTGGAGACAAGATTGGTGATGTAGCTCGGGGCAGAATTGCGGATGGCTTTGTATTTTGTTGTTTGTTTTTTTTAACTTAATTTGCTGGGCATTCGGAAACCACAGTAGAGGGATTGGCAGACGGGTAGTGGAGTGGTTGGTAAGGTAGATGAGTCTGGCAGCAGTATGATAGCCTAAACTAAAGAAGGGACAGTCTATAGAGAGGTAGGCCTATGAGAAGAGAGTTGCAATAGTCAAGGCAAGAGATCACAACTATCCTAAAATGAAAATTGAACTTGTTTATCCGAACTTGTGTTTTAAAGAGGGAAGAATAGGTGAAGACTATATACAATAAATGGCCAACAGTTTGTGGACACCTGACTATCACCTATATAAGCTTGTAGGACATTCTAAACGATGGGCAATATAGCATTGCATCCACCCCCCCCCCCCCCCCCAAACCCCCTGCCGTGTCTGTGACAGCCAACAGTCTTCTGGGAAGGCTTTTCAAAGTATTTTGGAGTTTACCTGTGAAAATATGTTCCCATCCAGCAAAAGAGCATTTGTGAGGTCAGGTACTGATGGTTGAAGCCAGGTCATTCAAGCCCTCCACAGAAAACTTGTCAAAGCCTTTCTCCATGGAGCTGGCTTTGTGCTCAGTAATGCTGAAACGAAAAAGGGTTTCCCCCCCCGAACTATTTGCACAAGGTAGGAAGCACACAATTGTCTAAAATGTCATTGTGTGCTCTAGCATTAACAGAACCCTGCCCTGGAAATACCTGAGTTCTATAATTTAAAGGGGTGTCCATATTTGGCCATATGGTTGCTACAATGGTCAGGTGTTCACAAAAATGTGGATATATATTGTATAAGTTTGTATAGAACTGCGTGAGTTTCTATGATTGGGTTATTTCACTTTTCTTGTACTGCAACTGGGGAGGGGCAGTCGCTACTCTTGGGTATAACCTCCAAGAAGCAAAGATTTACTCCATTGTTCCTGTGCCCCAAATGTATGTGAAAGACAAGAAATGGTACCAATAATATTTCCTTGGACTCGAACAATCATATTTTGCTAAGTGGGTAAGGGAACAAAAATTGTTACTTCCTTTAGGCCCCATTCACACCTAGCGATTTGAAATGCATGTTTTTTGCCCAACATGCAGAATGTGCTTTTGGGGGGTGCCTTTAACAATTAATGGCACTGCAAGCACAACATGTATTCCAGGAATGAGCACGAAAACGCATGCTTCTGCACATGTTCCCAGAAAGGAGCCTTATAATTTAAGTCTGGTGGACTAATTCACTACCTGACTTCACCAGCAAATCTCCCTGCTATAGTTCTTGAGTTTGACACACTACCCTCCCCTCCTAATACCGGCCTCTATAGTCTCAAACAAATGAAATCCCTTGGGTAGAATGAAACCTCTTAATATGGCTTTAGTATGTCTGCTGATTCCAAAAAAAGGAGTGGTGAAGTCCTCAGAGACAAAATGATCATTGAAGTAACCTAATGTCTACTAAAAACTGTGATATCAATTTGGGAAGGCATAGAATACCTTTAAAGGCTATGTTGTAAATGCACTTTGAAATATACATATCATTTGTCATGAAATGATGCATTACAATTGCATTGCTGAAAGTTTTAGGTAAAATCCAGTAAGGAAGGCTGCCAATCCGAGAATGGCCTTATGTTCTGAAGATCACTTTGTGTATAAGTATTTTATGTGCATATATTATCAGTGAATCAACAGTCTGCAGTTTTCATATTTTTATCCTCTTGCATAAATGTGTGCAGATCTTTCCAGTTTACAGAGAAGTATGGATTGTGATTTTGATTGTTTACATTATTAAATTGTGTAATTATATTAAATCTGCATATAAATATGAGAAGTTTTATAAATTCACAGTACTCGTTAGTCAATCAGCCCTAATATTGTGATATTTTGTGTATAGTATCTTTTCTTTTTTTGTTGGGGAGGAGGATTGTTTTTTTGTGTGTTTTTTTTTTGTTTTTGTTTTTTTTATTTAGTCATCCCTGATACAGAGTAGTGATTTCTCATTACTGAAAAAACAGCAGTCAAGATTTAATTCTTTTTTGTAGGTATCTGATATTGACCTGAAGCCTTATGGGAGTGCTTTGGACCATGTGAAACCTGGTACACCTCCTGTAATTGGAAGAAGCACTACACCAACGTCCAGCCCATTCCGGTAAGTTTGTTGTCTCAGAACTATCATAAAAGTGTAAAGTGACTGTAAACCTAGGTTATTTATTTTTTTTATAAATAACAAACATGTCACTCGTGATCTTTGAAGCACTGTTAAGGAGAGGGCCAGGAAGCCAGCCGCCTCGTCCTTAACAATGGGTAAGTCGGCAGCTTGATTCCCTGCTGACAGCTGAAAAAACATTGCTGGAAATTAAAAAAAAAAGTGAAAAAAAAAAAAACGGAATGGTGTCCCCCCTTCCCCAAGATCCAAAGCAGACCCTTATCTGAGCCTGCAGCCTGGCAGGTCAGGAAAGGGGGCAGGGGAGAGCTAGCCACATGCCCTTAACATGTGGGGGTGGGTGCTTAGGAGCAGGGGAGGTTGTTGTTCCCTCCCCCCAAAGCACCTTGTCTCCATGTTGATGAGGACAAGGGGCCTCTTCCCCACAAACCTGACTGGTGGTTGTGGAGGGCAGGGGACTTAGTAGAATGTGGAACCCCCAGATCCCGCACCCCCCCTGCCCCCCATTCCCATGTGAATTAGTAGGGGGTAGTACCCCCTACTCATTCACCAAAAAAGTGTAAAAAGTTAATAAAAAGACAGCACAAGTTTTTGACAGGTCCTTTTTATTTAAAAAAAAAAAATTTCCCCCCAATATAGATCCATCGTCGATCACAACGCCCACTGCTGACCAAGGAAAAAAACAAGCAAATCAAAAAAAACAAAACCTTTGGTCCCAACGAAGGCTCCTAAATAACCAAGGAGTGGGGCAGGGAGAAACCACCCATTCCTACTGCGCCCCCACCTTGGTGATGTCACAACCCAGCTTGCCCCATGTTGCTTATGTTACAGGGGGGCAGGGTCTCCCTCACCGGATGGCCTTGCTCCTTTGTTATTTAAGAGCTGTCAGACGGCGGGAGCCTTCATCGGGACCAGAGGTTTCTTTTTCTCTACAGTTTTTTGGTGATTGAGTAGGGGTACCATTCACATGGGGGGGGCGCGGGTGTTCTGGGAGGCTTCCAGATTCCGATAAGCCCCCTCCTGCAGACTCCCACAATCCCTGGCCAAGGTTGTAGGGAAGAGGACCTTGTCCTCATCAACATGGGGGCAAGGTGCTTGGGGGGGGCTGCTGGTAAACGCTACTGCTACTAAAATCTGTGTGCATGGACACATAGGATAATATGGAGGCCTGTCTGGAAGCAGAAAAAAAAAAAACGTCTTGACGCCCCTGAAAGTGGCTGCAAAAATGCATGGGGTCTAATGTTTTAAGTTGCAAATCCTTCTAGTTTTACAACTGCATTAACTGAACTCTGAGCAACCTGTTCAGATGAGTTCAGTTTAGTTAGGTGGGAAGATTTTGTAAAACATGTGCATGCTATCATACATTGTCATCTTTCCAGTAATATATAGATTTTACTGCTACAGTATAATATTGTGCCATATTTTCTTGTGTGTTCTAGGGCCAATTCCACCAGTCCTAACAGTCAGTCAAGTAAAATGAATAGCTTGGTTTACCAGAAACATCAGTTTACTTCAACAGCTGCCAATGTAAGGATGGGTCAGCCTCCCTTCCCTACGCAGTTCCCACCTCAGGTAATACCAAACTGCCTACCTACACTTCAGTCTTCCAAGAATAACTATTTGTCATGTAGTTATGATCTATGTTTTTGTTCTAATGACTATTGATGTTTCCTAAAAAGGTCCAGTCCACTTAAAACAATTGTATTTTAGAGCACTAAAGCATACATTGGTTATGTGAGTCTGTCTCTGGGGAGATCTCTGCTTGAATTTTGATGTCTGCACACATGCTGTGGCAATTAAAAGCATGCACCACCCTCCCTGTTGTATTTTTAATATTTATATTTAAAAGAATGCAGCAGGAAGACTGGAAAGAACTGGGAATACGAAGTTTGTCTTTCATGTTTAAAATCAAGCTTTATTGATGTACATACAGTATCTCACAGAAGTTTGTAAATATTTTATTCTATCTTTTCATGTGACAACACTGAAGAAATGACACTTTGCTACAATGTAAAGTAGTGAGTGTACAGCTTGTATAACATGTAAATTTACTGTCCCCTCAAAATAACTCAACACACAGCCATTAGTGTCTAAACCGCTGGCAACAAAAGTGAGTACACCCCTAAGTGAAAATTTCCAAATTTGGCCCAAAGTGTGAATATTTTGTGTGGCCACCATTATTTTCAAGCACTGCCTTAACCCTCTTGGGCATGGAGTTCACCAGAGCTTCACAGGTTGCCACTGGAGTCCTTTTCCACTCCTCCATGATGACATCACGATGCTGGTGGATGTTAGACCTTGCGCTCCTTCACCTTCCGTTTGAGGATGCCGCACAGATGCTCAGTAGGATTTAGGTCTGGATTTAGGCTTGGCTAGTCCATCACCTTTACCCTCATCTTCTTTTGAAAGGCAGTGGTTGTCTTGGTGGTGTTTGGGGTCGTTATCATGTTGGAATATTGCCCTGCGGCCCAGTCTCCGAAGGGAGGGGATCATGCTCTACCTCAGTATGTCACAGTACATGTTATCATTCATGGTTCCCTCAATGAACTGTAGCTCCCCAGTGCCAACAGCTATGTAGACTAGGTATTTAAAGTCTTTGCAATTTCACCTTGAGGAACATTATTCTGAAATTGTTTGACCGTTTTTAGATACAGCTTTTCACAGATTACAGATCAGATTCTTCTGAGACACTCCAACTCTCTGTGGTGCTCTTTTTTTACCTAATCATGTTACTGACATGTTGCCAATTAACCTAATAAACTGGAAAATGTTCTTCTAACTCATCCTTGTTAGTACGACTTTGCCAGGTTTTGTTGGCCTGTCCCACACTTTTGTTACATGTTGCTGCCATCCGTTTCAAAATGACCTTATTTTATTCTTAAAATTGTAAATTTTTTTTAGTTTAGTAATTTGATATATTTTCTGTTTTCTAAAACCTATGGCTTTAGGAGATATGCAAATCATTTCACTCCATTTTCATGTGGCTTTTAGTGTCCCAACTTTCTTGGAATTAATTGGGTTTGTTAGTTGAGATCACAATTTCAGAAATTGTTCCACTCTAATGTGTTGGAGAGATTGCTGTAATCGGAGAGGGGTAATCCGTTTTAATCCTTTTTAAGTGAAGAGAAATTTATAATCTAAATTGCTTTTGGCAAAGTTGTCCCCTTTCTGCAAATTGCTAAATGTGGCTGTAAACAATTGTGTCTGTCCCTTCAACTTCAGTAAGGACTATCCATTCCCTTGGAGAAACTTCATAGCAGGACTGCAAAGGTAGTAAAGTGAAACTATGAATTTTGGAGATCACACTGTGCTTGGCACAGCGTTTAATAAATATGTCCTCCGATTCTGCCAATTCAAGTACAGATGAGCACAAAAGTAACATTCACAAGAGTAACAGAAAAAAGAGAGAAACAATTGAGTACTGTCCATGATGCTTTTTGTTTGCACTATTATGGGCAGTTGTTTGTCGCACGTGCACTAATATAGCTACAATAAACTCAAGCAAGAAAAAGAAAGATGATCATTGGTGAAAACAGGAGACCTATAAGTTATTAGCCCTGCCTAAGTCTAGGTTCAGACCTATGCTTTTTCCGCTGTGTTTTGCAGAAATGCACAGTAATCCATTTAACATGATTTCCTATGGGACAGGTTCACTTTTGTTTTTTGTGTTTTTTTTTGTTTTTTTTTTTTAAAGGGTCAGGGACTTTTAAATGCAAAATGTTGTGTTTTTGGTTCTATAGACCTCAATGGAGATGCTGCAGAAAAGTATGTAGTGCATTTTTTACTCATTTTTGATGCATTTTGCATTTTATTCTGTCCAGCAACAAGTTGGGGGGAAATAAAAAGCGTCAAAAACGCACCGCAAAAATTCATCCCTTTTAGCAGTAACCCTCCTTCAATGAGCTTGACAAAGATCACAATGAACTTGACCTACTAAATACAAAACATTCCCTTTTTAAATGTTTTTTTTTTTTTTCTGACAAAGTTAAATCTTTGAAAAATCTGTCCTTTTATTGTGAAATTTTCCAGCTACATGTAAATTAGTAGAACAATATCCTGTGTAGTCACAAAGCCATCTGGTCAGCACCTGGCACACTTTCTTAGTTGGGACATTTTATCTAGAACAAAGACATGTAAATACATCCTGTTTTTTGTGTTTTTACTCATCTACTTAACTATCCAAGGAAAATAAATTTTAGATTTTACACATTTCAAGGTTTTTTGTTTTTTTTTTGGTTTGTTTTTTTTGGGGGGTTTTTTAAGCCTTTGATTTTAGGAAACTTGAAAGCTCTTGGCTACTAAGTCATGAATGTAGCTTGGTTTATTTAAATAAATGGAAAGTTTATTTTGTTTTGTGCTGCATAATAATAAATTGATTACCTGGAAATTAGTGGAAAAGGCTTGCAATTATGTCAGAATCCTAAAGCCGTAAATGGCAGATATACTTACACCTTTTTACCTTGCTACTATAGTTTTGTTTCCCCACAATGTAAGAAGAGCTGTAGTCATAGTATGCTAGGTTCAATTTGATCATGGAAAGTGTCCAACTGATCCTGGAGCTGATATGTCTGCTTTTTATTTTACTGGGTTTTTGTTTTTGCCGTCTTTTTTCATTAGTGAACCATTGCCTCACTTTGAGAGCCCTATTGTTCCTTTGGCAATAGCAAATGTCCCTCACCAAGATACAGTCCGGGCTGGTTCACACCAGCCACTGCATTGCAGTGCAGTGGCTGTGATACGGCTAAGCTCGGCTAATCGCACTGTTTTTTTTGTTATTTTCATTTTAAACGAACTTTTGGATATCACAGAGACCTCTCAAAAAATTAAGTTCCTGGCTCCACAGTGTGAGACAGTGGATGGCCTCTGGCCATGCTGCACTGAGGAAAAATACTGCATGCAGTACTTTTTCTCAGCGCACTGTGCCTGCACACCACTGAAACGCAGTGGTTTGAATTACCCACATAGGACCCAAGGCATTTTGTCCTGTTCATGATACGGTGGGACTGCTCTGGAATAGCTGTCCTATGCAGTCTCACGGCATCCATTGTGAACCAATCTGGCATTCAGCTTTAAATATGTGGGTGGTTTTAATTTCCTACCATTGAGCAGTTTAACCACTTTCCGGCACTGGCTTTACTGTAACACGTGAAATCAGCATGTGGCAGACCAGGTGATTATCATCAAGGCGTTTAATTTCTCAGTAGCAAGAATTTAAAATCATCCATGTGATTTGCACCCAACTATATGTAGATGGGAATGGAATTTTAAGACTGTAATTTGTTGGCAGTCACTGTAGTGCCAGCATAAGTAGGTGAAACATATGGTAAATTTTAACAGTACATACAGTACAGTATAGGATTACTGATATGTGACTGATCATAAATTGCGAAAATGTACAATAGAAAGTGTAGTAACAGATGCTTAAAGCAACTTGTCAACGGTTGGTGATTTCTTTCATTTTTAATAGACATTATTTGAAAGCTTTTTTTTTTTTTTTTTTAAACTTTTTTTTTTTTTTAAACTTTTTTCCTTGGTTTTACTGGGGAAAAACTAAAACTAACGTTGTGTGCAAACTCCTGTAAAATAAGCCTGTGGGTTTTTTTTTTTCTTCAGATACTGTCACAGCCTAACTTGGTGCCTCCACTGGTCAGAGGACCCCATCCAAATTCTTTCCAACCACCAGTTCAACGCCCACCAATGGCACTTACCAACCAGCTGCCCCCACAGATGCCAACAGGTCTGATGAACCACCCACGTCTTCATCATGTGTCCCGTGCACCTCCTGTTCCACCTTCTGGGGTGCGAATTAATGCCGCTATAAAAGCAGAGCAGGATCTGAAGGTCAGCATGACTTGTGAATTTTAATTTATATTTTATTATACTGTCTAAAACGTTAAGCTTTAAATGTTCCATAATTTTCCACAAAGTACAACAGTCCCATAGGTCAATAAGTCAGGTACTGTATGGTATCTTTATGGTTATGGATCATTCGTACAGTCAACATTCTGCAGAACTCCTTTCCTATTATACACAAAAATTGATAAACTTTGAGGTGTAGATTCCTACTGAATGAAGGGATATTTCACAGAATGTACAGTACATGGGGATTATTTAAGAGTCAAAAGGCAGAATTTAACCACTAACAATCAGCAATAATTTGCTCCGGACGATCGGTGTTCCGGACACAGTGGAACACCGATCGTCGTACGGGACCTCTGTGCGAGGTCCCGATCATGTGATCACTGATTGGCCAATCAGTGATCACATGCAGAGTAGTAATCAAGATGTCACATCTGACATCATTGCTTACTGCGTGTGAAATCTGTGAATGATCACAGCTTGTCACATGGTACAAGGCTATTCACAACAGTCTTGTACCATGTGACAAGTTGTGACCAATCACAGCTCACACAGTATTTCTCAATGGCTGCAAGAATGCAGCCAGAAAGAAGAAGTGATTGCTTTTACAGCCTTTATAGGTGTAAAAGCAATCAGTGTTCAAAAAAAAAAAATCTTCATCACCCCCCACAAGTAGTACAGTGTCACCATGGTGACACTGTACTGCTAGGGGTGACCGTGTGTTAAAAAAAAAACATAAATAATATAAAAATGTAAAAAAAATTAAAGTATAATTTTTGGTTATAAACTAATTTGGGTTATTTTTTTTTTGTTTACTAAAGATAACTGAATTGTGGCCAAGATTTATGATGAAATATTATTTATTTGCAAAATTTTATAAGAAAAACATTTTTTGGACTTTCATTTATATAGCAAAAAAATAAAAATCCCAGTGGTGAATAAATACCACCAAAATAAAGCTTTATCTGTCTTAAAAAAAAATGCTAAAAAATTAATATGGGTACAGTGTTGCATGACTGCGCAATTGTCATTCAAAGTGTGATAGCGCTGAAAATTGGCCTGGACAGGAAGGGGGTAAAAGTGTCCGGACTTGAAGTGGTTAAAGGTGAACTTATTCTTTAATAAGCTCTAAACTGTTTTCTTAACTAAATTGATGAGCATGAGACTTTGTCATTGTGTGTTTTTTTTTTTTTTTTTTTTTTCTCCTGTGTATGTCTTCTACCCATGAGATGATTAACCATTTTTTCTTTATTAGTACATTTTGTGAACTTAGTTTTGCTTTCAGTCTGATAAATTCGGAATGTACAAGAGACAGTTTTATATTCAGTTGCAGAATGAAATATGGTATTGTGATGCAAAGACAAATTTGTAAACACCTTGGCACATCCTAATTTATGGGACACATCTCTTTTTCCCTTTTCTTTTGCTTACCCTTAAGGCAAAACAGAGAGCGGAGGTACTACAGTCTACACATAGATTCTTCGAGCAACAACAGCATCAGCAGCAGAGCAAACCAGTGATCCCCAAACCTCAAAAAACCACCCCAGGTGCCACCAAGCCTTCAGACTCTATATCGGAACCCTCCTTAGTCTCCCAGGAAAAGGTAGAAGAGAACCAACCTGCCGCTGCTGCCTTGCCTCCAGCTGCAGTGCCGACCTCTACCAAACCCATCAGAACTGGACCAATAAAACCTCAGGCCATCAAAACGGAAGACACAAAGTCCTAGAGATAGCTGGAAATATGTCCTGAGCACTACTCTGAGGTGTATCGATATGAGTTTTTTATGTTTACCTAAGATAACAGCAGCTTATCTAAAAGTAGGAAGTGGAGATAGCAGAGCATAGTTAGCTATTGTGTGAACAGGACAGAGGAGTCTTCAGAGGCTATACTCAGCATTTCAAGGTGTGAAAGGTAGAAGATACCATGTCCAGAAGGTTTTTTTTCTAGTTTTCTACTCAGTGTGTCGTGGTTGTTTTAGAGAGTGCAGCCTGTATGCTGAAAATCACAGATATCTATGGGATTGTGTACCATCCAGAGAGGCTGACGCTGAATGGTTAGTAGGAAACACTACCCTACAATGCTACTCTTAATAACTGTGCCGAACCAGAGTGAGTTCCAAGTGCAACATAGTATTTGTATACCCAAACACGCTTTATGGTCTTGTTTAGGGTTACACTGTTGTATTTCTCACCTGCTGGGTTTTCCCATGCATATAGAAGTCAGTTTCTAGTTTCCCACCCATTATTCTCCCAAAATATCATCTAGATGTTACTGATAAGAATCCTCAGACTGGGCTCAAGCAATCAGTGTTACAGGTTGCAAAGATAATCTGAGCACATAATAAATGTGGTCTAAAACAAAGCATTCTGGGTCTAAACAAGAACACAAAGCAGTCATGTGTTTATCTCATAGTAAGTGACTTAGCTGCTGATTTGTTTTCCAAAACAGTGCTATGCTAAAGCAATTTCAATGATTGCCATTGTTGCTGCTGTTTTTAAATATTTCAACAATATCACTCTATACTGTACCCTTAAAATCTGACCTCTTTGTGACCATATTTTTTTTTTCTTCTGAAAGTAGAATCAAATTATACAGCAACCTTTTTTTTATATATATAAATATAAATATAAAGGAAGTGGGATAAAGATCTGTGCTGATCATAACACAACACTGTAACTGTACATTATAAAATATCTTGTAAATGCAGCTATGTTGTGGTAGAAGTGTTCTTATTAAACTTAAACACTCATTTTGTCCAATAAAGGGTGACTTTTTCTTTTTAAAAAGAATTCCATTATCTGATGCTTGTGAGCTGTGTGAAGTTATGCAAATGAATAAAAAATATGAAAATCCGCACATTGGTAGATTTAAATACAGGTGACATAAAAAAGTTGTTGCTATAAGATTATTAAATGGCATGCTTGAGCATTGAATTAATTGTGGAATGGGAAAGAGACTGGAATGTCAGTTCACTCACCTCTGTAAATCCAGCCTGTGGTAGTCCAATTTTCAGTAATTACGCAAATCTTCATTCTTAGGCTAGCCATTCATTATACAATTTTCTTTACATTTACCAAAACCATATAATATGAGGTCAAATCTAAACACTTTCAATTTGTATGCAATCAGGCAGGCCCTTGCACTGCATAGTTAAAGGTAAATCTAAAGGAAACTGTATAATGTACGGCCAGCCTTAGTCTCTGCCTCATTGTTTGAAATATCCTCATTGACTCACAAAGGTCCAATACCTAATGGAAAAAGTGATCAAGTCACCTAAATCCATGTTTCTTGTGACTTAATAGTTTGCTTGGATCAAACTAGTCCAAACAAACCAGTTGCTTTACCAACAGATGTGCCTGCTGGGAATGCTGAGTAAACTGTATTTGGTATCGGCTACATACAGTATACAGTGCTGTGTTCCGGCAGCAGAATGGGCACTCCCCGTCTTGCTCACAGAACCAAATTAAGTCAGGTTGAACTTTGATCAGCCATTCACACTAAGAATTGTATTTCATTGGATTCAAGGCTTCTGCTAGTTGACTGAGGTGGAGATTGTGATGTCATCCGCCTGCCCCTTCACCAGCCAATCGGAGGACACCCGGCATTGATTGATTAAATACAAAGCTTCCTGTGAATGGCTAAGTAGAGATCAGCATGATTCGATTTTGTTCCAGGAGTGGGAGGGGAAGTCTCCCTCCTGCTGCTGGAACACAGAACTGAATACTGTATGTAAAGTTAGTCTAGGACTTGGCATGTAGATGAATATACACATTACACGCCTTCCTATACTCCTGCAGTCCTGCTTAATACATCATCTTGGCATTGCCCTTTAAGTTTGTTCTTTTCTGGGTCCTTCTGCTCCTGTGAGAGTTTCCTCTATGGTGGAGAAAGTGATGTCATCCGTCTGCCTCTTGCCACCTCAGCCTATCAGAGGATGCCCTGTGTTCATTGATGAAATACAGTGGTTATGTGAATGGCTAAGCAGCGGTCAGCATGGCACGATTTTGTTCCAGGAGCGGAAAGGGAAGTCCTTATCTTGCTGCTGGAACACAGCACTGTATACTGTGTGTAGCTGATGTCGCATAAAGCGCTCCCAGCAGGCATGTCCATTAGTGAAGCAATTTGTTTGGACCAGCTTTGTCTAAACAAACTAAAGTCACGAGAAACAAAGGTTAGTCTCTAGGACTTGGCATGAAGATGAATGTACACACTGCACTCACCTTCCTATGCTCCTGCAGTCCTGCTTAATACATTATCTTGGCATTGCCCTTTAAGTTTGTTCCCTAAAACAATTGTCAGTAGTTTTGTAAAATCCCCAAAAGCTGATTTGAAGATATCCAGTTTAGTATTTAAGTATTTGCTCAAACTCCTATGTTGATTGAAAGCCACCGTTTATTTTCATGTTTTTTCATAATCTCTTTGACTTGCTGTACAGGTTAAGTGCAGACAGCTGCAGTTTAGTTGTATCTTTTTTTTTTTTGTTTGTTTGTTTTTAATATAAATATATAAATATATTTTTTCTTTTTAGCTATGATGTAATTTTTTTCCAAGTTATGGGGGCCGCTTAGCACTCCCATTCCTCTTTTTGGCATTGTACAGAATTTGCAGCCAATCTTCAGCCTGTTCAGTTGAGAGGAAAAGCAAATGCATTGTATGAAAATATTATTTACATCATTCAATTTGATTACAGGAACTAATAAAGTATTATATAAATAAAGATGTCTGTAGTGCATTAATTTTCCTATAGACAGAGCATGGAGATATCAAAAGAAAACCGAAAAAAAAATGCTGCAAGGCAGACTACAGACTTCTTATATTTGTTTTTTTGTTTTAATTTATTTAAAATGGAACTACGCTGCATCTGAGCACCAAAAGCCAAAAAGCTATTTAATTCATTTTTATTATTCAAAGCAAACTCCCCCATCCAATTCAAGTCTCCATGCTTTATTTTGCTGCAACTGATCACTTTGAAAATCATCTAGCATTTCTGGCTGTGACCATCTTGATAGGGCAGATTATTCGGGTAGCAATTATTTCCTGGAATCTATCTGCCCATCCATCAGGCATATAGGCAGGAGAGGGTACCTAGCTGAGAAAACCCCTCCTGAAGACTCCTGTGATGTATGACATAATTTGCCTAGGCCTGGAAGCCTGAAAACCTGGAAAAAGTAACTGATGGAATGTACAAAATTTTTTTTAAAACAAATACATATGCTTTCCTATCTATTTATTTTTAATCCCTATGCTTAGTAGTAGTCATTGTTGTTTGAGAGAGTGAAGTTCCACTTTAGGTGCCAGTTTTTCATATGGTGCAGGGTCTTCAAAACCTTGGGCAATTGAAAGATCAGGGTTCCCCAAGCTGTACATAGCTGTGGCTTTACTAGGGCTTGTACACAATGACAGTTGCAAAAGCGTAACCACAGCTGCCATATTTTTTTTAATTACACTTGTGCTAGATTATCTGGACTGCAATTTCAGATGTTTGTTTTGAGCATCTTGAGAAGCCAAACTGCTGAACTCCACTTACATGTGTTGGGCAGCTAGTCAGCTTGTTACTTTCCTTCCTGGCTGTCAAAAAATGTAAACTAAACTCTTATATTTGTGCAGAAGCCTGAATAGAGTCTGTCATAAGCCTGAATGCTGTAAATGGAATTTGTCTCGTGAGCTGTACATCACTTGCAGGGAAACCGGACATCAACTCAAACGCTTGTCTAGCCTCTAAAGAGACCTCAACCTGTTAAGACTTTCCTTATTGCATCTGAACCTGTATATTCATTGGCCTGAGTTGTAAAGGGTCTTTTGCCCAACAATACCCTATTGAAGGGCACCTAAAGAAGTGGTCTGTCCCTTATTTGGACCCAGCCATTTCCTGTCCTTGCAAGACTAACTGTCCCTGTTGAGGACATTCATGCATTTTATAGATGGCAGATAAAAGGCTAGAAGCTCTTTCAACTCTCTTCTGACTTGCAGGTCCTGCCCTTCAACCTGCCATTGCAACCATGTCCATCTTCCAGACCTTAATGGTCTGCTCCAAGGTTGTGACTGGGTATCCTGTATCTATCCTGATGCATCCTTCTGTCCTTCAGCGACTGGAGCTCATGCCTGTGGCCCTACTTTATTCTAACAGGCTAGCTGTAGATAATATATGTCAAATGTCCATAATGGGCCTCCTTTAGGTACATAGTGAAGGATCCTATGGCTCAAATGTTTCTTGTGTTGATGCTTCACAGACCAATGCCTCTTGTATATTCCCATTGATGGACAAGTTGTGAATCACTGGAAAACTTCATTAAGGAATTTACCGTGACTGAGTGTACCCTTCTGACCAAGAAAAAGAAGGCAAAATCTCCATCTGGAAAACCGTCTACTCTGAGGGTAAAAAGAATGTTTCCTTTTACTCCAGTCGTTATCCTTCTCCCCTTCCCTGTTAATGGAAGAGGAACCAGTGGAGGACAAGGTTGAGGAAGACTAGAATGTTCCGCTGGATGGCAACTTGGCAGAATCCTCTTCTGGTTAATCTACTTTTAAAGACCCCCAGGGTCGTTGTTTATTTTAGACCCAAAAGGCCTTCCTGTGAGCTTTCTCATGGAAGTTGTTCGTACCAATTTGAAGTTGCCATATCCCAAGTGCTCCAGTCTATAGGCCAAAGGATTTGGACCATGGAAGTCGCCACAACATCCTCAATACTTTCATGTACATATTCATTTAAAGCATGTTTTTGTATGC